GATTGTTGCTGAGTTTTGATCCTATTGCCGTTTTTATCCGAAACATTTTTGGGTTTGGGTTACTTTTGATTTCACGGGGCTACACAAGAGGGGTAGTTCATCTCCCCTACCCAATACCTACCCTCCAACCATGGTCGCAACGGGGTTTGATCCAAGTTGATGGTGCGAAAGAGCAAGAGAGTTTAGTGCTAAATTGCATATAAAGTGATAGAGTTTATCCGGTTCAAAGCGGGCAGAAAGAAATTATCTCTAGTGTTCCTTTTCGTACGTATTGGTTTGATACAAGTCTCCTTCTCTCTCATTAATTTTATATTTACTCTTATATTTAAATGAATTTCGTTCTCATTAATTAGTTAATTACTCTTACAATTAATGCATAATTTTAAATTTGAATTTCAGTTTTAGCGTCTAATTGGATTCTCTTCTCATTAATTTTGTTAATTAATAACCCTCTTTCTCATTAAATTCGTTTTGTTAGTATAAAACTATAAATTAGCAATAGTAAGATTCGAACCCTAGACACTAAGCTTTAAAAACCAGAGGTTCACCACTAAGCCACGCCCATTTGCTTGCTATTTGTTTATGCATTTTTATTTTTAAGTAATTTTTCTATTTTTCTTAGTATATGCTTATCAATAAATGTTATAATTAATTATTAAAACTTATGTATTAATAAATATTAAGATAAATTATATTGATTATTTAAAACTAATATATATCAATATACATTTTTGTTTTTTCACGTTTTAGTTATTCCATCATTTGTCAATAGTTACTAAGTGTGTCTCGATATCTCGAATTTTATATAGACCATTAAATTACAACTTTTTACTTTTAAATAACTTATTTACAATCATTTAAAACTTGTAACTATTGTTATTAATATATTTTTTAGGATTTATTTAAGCTTTTTAGCATATTTGTGGGTATCTTGGTTTTTCATTCGTATCCAAAGCGTATCCCAATACGTCTTTTAAAATTATCTTTTCGATACACCTTATGTTTCCGATACTTTAAACCTTGCCAAAAAAGTTAAAGCAAATGAGATGTGCTCCAAATGTTTCTGAAGTCATTGCCTACAAAGCGCTGAATTATAATAAGACAATTCTAAAATATATCATTAGAGGAACTCACCAATTGAGCCACCATTTGTGATCTTTAATTTGGGTTGATAAATACAAATCAACATTCAATTATTATTTGACGTTGGTTCTACTTGTAACGGCATACCTTAAAAATATGTGTGTGGATGCTGTTTGTAAAAGCATCAACTTGATGTTTCAAGTTTATTTTGATACTAAGCAGCGGATGATACTAATCTTTTAGCTGAAGTGCCTTTCATATTTGATGCGACAATACATACCTCTGACCAATATGTATGATCAACCCAAAACAACAATACACAACCTTTATTGACCACTAAGCAAATGAAAATTCTTTGGACGGTTGTAATGGGATCAAATTTCATTTTCACCAAGGTTGGGGAGGTGTTTAACTAATAGCTCCTAAATTGTTTTTAATAAATTAAGAAAAGAGATTAGGTATATAAGCCCCAAAAAGATAGTCCAGATGTGTGGTGTAAGATGGATTTACAAGACATACATTATTCAAATTGCCCGACCTTGAGGATTGAATGTTTTAATTTATTTTTTTTATTAATAATCAAATGACATAGATTATATCCATTTATTTGATGGTTAGAAGTATCTAATCAAGCTGCTACAGAGTTCCTTATATAGTTCAGTTTGAAAAGGATTTTCCTTTAGTTATTTTAAGCAAATTAGGTTAAACCACACTTATGGTGATGAATAAGCTGTTCATCCTCCACAAAAATAACAAAAATTTTGAGAGAACTATATTCTTGATTTGCATTTTGAGTGTTTTAGGGAGAGAATTTTGCATTTCGGGTCTGGGACAAGGCGGGGTACATCCTCTCCTGTTGACAATTTTCAATTGGCCACAGGTTGCCCCTCCACCCGGCAATGTTTGAGCTAAAATAAGCAAGAGAGATGGACATAATATAGGCATCTGTAAAAGGAATTTTGGTAGGAAGTTTGAACCCTAACATTATGGAGCAAGTCAAACGATAACAAGGTTTGGTTAAGCTGTCCAACTTGTGGTAGCTAGGATAGTTGGATTCCCACCTTTCTATCTCTTTATATGATTGCCATGCCACCAATGATCACATTTCATGTGTAGTAAATTCCAAGTTAGATGCCCTTTTAACACTTGATATGGTCATGGGAGTGGATTTGCTAGTTGGAATGTATAGATGAGCACCCTTAGTGATTAAGTAATAGTCTATGTGGCAAACTAACTTGGAATTCAAAAAGAATGCTACTATTCCTCTCTCCGCCCTATATTTATGGAGCATTTTAGGGCTCATAATCCCAAGGCATGTTCTTTTTTGAAAGCAAACAATCATCTAAACACCCCCGAGGGCATGACATTTAGTTGATATTGGATTTTGTCCTCACAAATCATGTGTTTTGTCCCGTAAACATTTCGCGATAAGATATTCATCCGTATGCATTGGTATTTATAAAAATGGGTTTTGATTTATATGCACATTAATCATTGGGGGAACCTTCTTTTTAATTCTTCCCCCAATGGTTGAGCATTTATTCCCTAAACCGTTGATGTGGCGCCTACTTATCAATAAATAGTTTATTAGGTACTTTTTTCAGTTTTAAAGATAAATCAAATATGGACGATTATTTAATAAATCAAAGCTATACCAAACACATGGAAAGTTGGTCTTGATGGTGTCATTACAACACTTGATAGTCATGCATTAGGAACATATCGATGCTTGAATGTTTTCATTAATTGGAAGATGTACTCAATGCTCAGCTAAAAGGTTTGTGAGATGATGTCAGGTAGAGGTGCAACTTGGGTGGGCCCAGCCCAAGCCCAAACTGGCCCAACCCAAAATTTTATATAGGTTGGGCTTGGATTTTCGATCCTCGGGATGGGCACAGGCCTAAGAAGCCATGCTTTTTTATTTTTTGGGCCAGGCTCAGGCTTAGCCCTTCGGTAATCCGAACCCGGCCCATATATACATACATATTTGTATATATAACATTTGTATAGATATTTTGTATACATAAATATATGTATATATATTTGCATAAATACATTTATATATGTATAATTTTAGAGTGGGTTCAGAACTTGGCCCATGCCCAAACCCAACCCCAATGCATCAAATTATAGGGCAGACTGGACTCGAGTTAGGAAAATCAAACTTACCTCGGGCTCATGCCTTAAGCCCAAGTTTTAGGGCCAGGCCTCTATTCATCATAAACCTCGTCCAACCCGCCCAACCCGAGTGCATTAAATTCCATCTAATATAGGAAATATCAAATATCTCCCCACACATTTAACGTACTAGTATGGAAGATTTCCATACTATAGACTGTTTATTTGATCTAATTAGGAAACTTAATAATTTCTTTGTAACAATAGAGACTCTTTGATTGTCATGAATTGAAGTCCTATGAACCGAAAAATACCCAATTAAGGTGGTTGACTATATTTATATAAAGGGAAAATTCGCTTCAACTGCTACATTTTAAATTTGTTTTCTGCTCACAGCTTTCTTATTTAATCATCACCTACATCTGCCTTCGGATTGAATTTTTTTGTTGTTAATTTAAACAGCTGATATTGTTTTGAAAAGGCAAAATACCCTTTTATTTTTATCTAAGACTCAATTTGTAAGGAGTAATATAAATACGTAGAGTGTAAAATCTTGTATTTTGTATGTTTTTATAAGATACATGTTTATATTTGGTTTATTTTAGAAAAAGTAATACATATATAACAAAACAAAATACAGGGTTTTACACTCTTCATATTTATATTTTTACCCCCTCCATACTGAGCCTTCTAAGCAACACCAACTAACACCAATATTTGACTGAGTATCATAATATAGCATCACAAACATTTATTCCATCATAAGAGTTGAATTGGCTGAATTACTTAATGTTTTAGTAGATAAATAACAAATATAAAAAATTCAAAGATATAATAATTTACAATCAATCCTATTTCAGCTTTATGGTTATGTCTGATACTTAAATTTTTTATTTTATATTGGTTAAGGGGTTGGGAAAGAGACATCAAACCTTTTAAACATTTGAAAAAAAAAAACTATGTATCAATATATGCAAATGTGTCTGGATGCACCCATGTAACGTATTGATATTTCAAACCTGCAGGCTGCAAGATCAACTTATTATACGTGACGTCTAAACCGGCTGGCTTGAACTTGGATCGGATTGAGTGGTCCAGGCAAATTTCCGGTTAGCATCTCGGAAAGGGATACTTGTATTTGCTTCAGTTCATACGGGCATTATAGTCTTTTTATTGTCGTCCGTTTCAATTCCTGTTTCCAACCGACGGGTAGATTTGTAATTTCATATGCCCATACCCGTCAGTCAGATGCAGCGAAATGCGAAGAAGTGGGACAGACAGGCACACTTTAAAACCCCGTCGGAAAATTCGAGAACCCTAAAAAACAAGAATATTTACTTTATTTATTTATTTAAAATTATTAATTGACGTGTTTTTATCTCCAAATAGTCAAGCGGGGCGGCTGAGCTGAGGTTTCTTTTTTTCTTTTTTTTTTTATATAATTAAATCTAAAATGTTTTTATCTTTATTTTTTTGTCGTTGGTGCTCCACGCCTTTTCCCCTCGATTTGACTCCACATTTAACCAAAATTGACAATCGCCCTGAAGTCCGCTGGTACCCCCGAGCTACGCTCTGATTCGCGGACTTGACCTGCGATTCTAATCCACCATAATCCACCGTGAAACTTACGCTTCTCCCCCGGCTCACCCGGTCACTCTACTCTCTCTACCTCTCCCAGACAATAGTCACCCTCATCTGTAAACAACCGAAGGCGTCGCTACTTTTCACCGGCTAAACCAGTCTCCACTGGTTTGAATTCTCTCTTTCTCGGATTTAACTGTCATATCGAGTGAATTTGGGGTGAATTTCCATGCGAATTTCGTCGCGCGAGCTCGAGTTAATTTACTCAAATTTATCTGCATTTGAGGGTTTCATTTCATTTTAATTTGAAGACGTTTCGAGAAAGAGCTCTCTCTCTCTCTCTCTCTCTCTCGATCAGAACGGCGAGTTTGTCCAACTGAAAAATGTTGATCGGAGCTCTTTGTTTGGGGTCGTCTTCGCGATTCTCTCGTGGTTGTCGCTTGGTCTTCGAGGTGTCTTTCGTTTCTGGTCTTGGTTTCAGTTTATACTTCTCAGATCGGTGAAGATTTTTGTAGAGCTTGTGTGTTTTTCTGTAGATCTGTGGGCAATGGGGTTCTCTATCGTGTCTTAGCTTGTCTGCGTCTCCAGGTTCTGGAAATCGGTAAGTAGGTTGAACCTGCTGCTGCGTCTGATGACCTGTTTAAGTTGCTATTCGACGCTGTTGCCTGTGTTCTGTGTGTAAAAACCCTATTTTGAGCTGGCTGTTCTCAAGTTAATGGAGAACATTGGTTTTTGTGATTTTAAAGCTTCTAGATGATCCAATATACAGGTAAAACTTCTAATATTTTTAAATGCATTTGTTCAAAACTTTAGCTTCTAAACATTATCTGTTATGAAGAATAATTCGTCACAAAAGAATAGGGAGGTGAGGTTTCTTTTTTATTTCTATTTTCAAAATTACTGTTAAATCTTAATATATTATTTTTAATCTAATTACTATGAGAGATTCGAATAATATAGTGTTTTGTTTGGTTTTTGTTTTGAATCAGTGGTTATTTTTGCAATGATCGTTTCCACCGAGTGTACTAGTTCCATTATTCTGATCTTTTCTAGGGATTATTCGCAAGAGAATGAATGGTTGTATATTTCGTTTTTGGAAACAAAAGAGAAGTTTGAGAAGAATAATAGCGGTTTTCTCTTAGAGTTCAGATTTTTCCTTCATGGTTCCTGAACAGATTCTCTATGATCTTATTTTGCCTACATATTCGCCAGATTCCTCTGTCAATTTCTTTGAAGGGCTCTTTTGTCCTTCATCGAAACTGTCCTTGTAGTCTTATTTATTGGAATCTTTTTCAGCGAATAGTTTCTTTCTTGAACTTGTGATTTTTTCGTCTTAATTTGTTCCTATAAATTGCCCAACTTCGTTTTTGTTTCTTAACCTTTACATAACACAAGGACAAATACTTGTCTATAAGTATCTTTCCGGTGGTCTCCCGGCAATTTTCCGGCAAGATATTCTCCGTCTGTACTTCTCTTTGGTTTTGTAGTTCTGGTGTAGGGTTTTGGTTATAAGGAGGCTTTTGCGGTTTTGTTTTATTAGGTGGATTTCCAGTTAATCGAAGTATGTGCGGTGGACCGGAGCAGTTAAAGTCCACGTCGTCGTCGCCACCTCCATCTTCCGAAGAAAGCAAACCCACCATTAAAAGCATGAATCACCTGACTGTAGAAACCGAAGATTCTTTTTCAAGTTTACTTGAGCTTGCAGCCAACAATGACCTCGAAGGTTTTAAGCGTTCGTTAGAGCGTGATGCCTCTGCTGTTGACGAGATTGGTCTCTGGTATGGCCGCCAGAAGGGTTCCAAACAGATGGTACTTGAGCACAGAACTCCATTAATGGTTGCTGCAACTTATGGTAGTATTGATGTCTTGAAGCTAATCCTTACTCTATCCGAGGCTGATGTAAATCGTTCTTGCGGCCCTGATAAGAGCACTGCCCTCCACTGTGCAGCCTCTGGGGGATCTGTAAACGCCTTAGATGTTGTCAAATTACTTCTGATGTCTGGTGCAGATCCAAATTCAGTGGATGCAAATGGCCGCAGACCTGCTGATGTTATCGTTGTTTCTCCGAAGCTCCCCAACATGAAGATTGCTTTGGAGGAACTTCTCAGTAGCAATGGTTCGAGTATTCCCATGGACGAGGAGAGTCTACGTGTCTCGATAAACACATCTAATTCCAATTCACCCCCTTTGTCATCATCGCCGGACAATGGATCTCCATCATCTCCATCAGATTCAACTTCTTCTCCGACGACAATGAAGTTGAGCGATCTTCCTGCTTCAACCTCAGAGAAGAAAGAGTACCCTATTGATCCATCTCTTCCGGATATCAAGAACAGCATCTATGCAACGGATGAGTTCCGCATGTTCTCTTTCAAGGTCCGACCTTGTTCCCGAGCATATTCTCATGATTGGACCGAGTGTCCGTTTGTTCACCCTGGTGAAAACGCTCGCAGGAGAGACCCTAGGAAGTTTCATTACAGCTGTGTTCCTTGCCCTGATTTCAGAAAAGGGGCATGCAGACGCGGAGATATGTGTGAATATGCACATGGAGTCTTCGAGTGCTGGCTTCACCCGGCGCAGTACAGGACTCGACTCTGCAAGGACGGCACAAATTGCATGAGGCGTGTCTGTTTCTTTGCCCACACAGCTGAGGAGATGCGCCCCCTGTACGTCTCCACGGGCTCTGCTGTTCCTTCTCCTCGCTCAACTGCTTCAGCTGCTACTGCCATGGAGATGGCTGCTGCCATGAGCCTCTTGCCTGGTTCACCCTCTTCAGTTTCTGTTATGTCACCGTCCCCTTTCACACCACCCATGTCTCCGTCTGGTAATGGCATTAACCACTCATCCTTGGCCTGGCCACAGCCCAACGTCCCAACCCTGCTTCTTCCTGGTAGTAGTCTTCAATCTAGTCGCCTGAGATCTTCTCTCAATGCAAGAGACATCCCAGCGGAGGACTTGAACTTGTTGCAGGATTTTGAAGCCCAGCAGCAGCAACTCCTTAATGAACTATCCTGTTATTCGCAGCCACGCCTCGGTACTTCCTCGGTGAACCGATCTGGTCGATCCAAGGCCCTAACTCCTTCCAATCTGGAAGAGCTTTTTACCGCAGAAATATCATCATCTCCTCGGTATTCGGATCAGGCTTCAACTGTTTTCTCCCCGTCTCACAAGTCAGCTGTATTGAACCAGTTCCAGCAACAGCAGAGCATGTTATCGCCGATCAACACAAGCATGTTCTCCCCAAAGAACGTTGACCATCCCCTCTTGCAAGCACCCTTTGGAGTTCCTTCTCCGGGAAGGTCACCTCGGGGTGTGGAGCCTCTCTCTCCAATGAGCTCACGACTATCTGCATTTGCTCAACGTGAGAAGCAGCATCAACTACGCAGCCTTAGCTCTCGAGAGCTTGGATCCGGTGTAAATGGTGTCGTTGGATCTCCCGTGAATTCTTGGACCAAATGGGGTTCACCAAATGGGAAATTGGATTGGGCTGTTCATGGAGACGAACTGGGGCAGTTCAAGAGATCATCTTCCTTCGAATTAGGCACCAATGGAGAGGAGCCCGATTTGTCATGGGTTCAGTCGTTGGTGAAGGAATCACCACCTGAGATCAAAGAGAAGCTAGCTATTCCAACCTCGGCCACAGCTGCATCTTCTTCTGAGGCTTCGAAATCGAACTCTCAGGTTGAAGCCATTGATCACTCTGTTTTGGGAGCTTGGCTGGAACAGATGCAGCTAGATCAGCTTGTAGCTTAGTAAAAATGAAATTTTTACTGAGCCATGTGGTTAGTAAAACAGGAATCGATTTTAGTAAATAATATAATATTTTTTTGGGTTTGTTGGTGGAGAGGTACGAGGTAAGGGTAACAGCGAAGGAGGGGAGGAGGGCACAAGAAAGTAAGAAAAAAAGATTTCAGTAAGAAAATTCATTTTCACCATTTATTACAGGTTATAACAGAAGCCAGAAAGGTGAAAAAAAAAGGCTCTATCTGGGTTAAATATTTCAATGACCCAGCCCAGGTTAGGTAAAACGTTTTTACTCAATATGGTGGAAATTTAGTTCTTTTTTTTCCGTTTTTATTAACCTTTTCTTCTTGAAAAGAGCCTCTTATGTTTCATCAAAAAATGGAACAAAAATGCTTTTTCCTCGTTGTCTTTTTAATTTTTTTAACATTTTCCCTTCATTAATTTATTTATCTTTTGCAAATTAGTATCTTGGGATGAACAGCAAATGTGGTGGTGGGGGTTAATGGGGGGTAATTTTTTTTCCTGTTTTGAGGGCATTCAGTGTAATATTCGAGCAGAAATCAACAATGCCGAGGTGCCCCATTAAAGAAAGAATTGTATGGTCATTCGATTATGTAATATTGAATTGAAGTTTTATTACTATTGTTATTATTTCAATATCTTTATTTTTTCCTTATTCTCTCTCTCTTGATATTGATGGTTTTTCAGTTCTTTTTCATGGATTCTGAAGAATAACGTCTTGGGTTTCTATAGGGGATCCAATTATATTCTGAATTTGATGTTCATAGAAGATTGCCCTTCAAGGTTTATTGGTCACCTTCATGAATGAGTCCATGGGTATCATATTCCATTGGCTACATTAATCGCAACTGTGTTAATGTGGGGGTCGAGTCGGTGGGGACCTCTGTCGTAACTGGGTGTTTCCTTCTTGCGTATACGTGTTTGATTGTTGATTGGTTGGGCAAAAGTTAGGTGTTTTGGTATCTGACAGAGTTAATTCTGGTTTCCAATGTGAGAGTACGAGGTGACTTGTTAACTGCTGATTGCCTGAAACGGCACACTGTTCGGGTCAATTTGTGGTCACCCATGCTTTCTTGTGCCCAAATTCTTGGCCATGTGACTGATCACAACCACTCGTTTTAGGCCTGTTTTTATGAATAGACTGCCTGTGCAAGTTGGGGCAGTCGGAGGTTGGCACATCATCCAAAACGCGTCAAGTCTTTTCTCTTTTGGGTTTCGAAGGGTTTTCGAAGTTAATTCTAGATATAATCTCCCAAAATTTGGATTAGTTCTCCTAATTTAGTTGTATCAATGTTGATGGAGATGGTTACATAGTTTCTATGTATAATGTGTCAAGCCCACAAGTGAAAGAGACTAACCTTAGAATAGGCAAGAATATATATTAAGAGTTAACACCCTTTTAGGTTTGGAAACTATATATTTGATCTAGCATGTTGGATCAATTTATTATTTAGCATTTTGGATGTTGACGTTCCAAAAGGTTTTCTATTTTCTGAATATTAAACCAGCTTACTAGGTGGGTGTCCTGGGTTTTTTATTTTTTAGATCTCTATCCGATGCCCACTGTTGTAATGGGTTGGGTCAGATTGTGCATGCGCATTCACTGTGTTTGTCTTCATTAGTTTGGGTTATTGCCTTTGCCTGGTTAGTGGTATAACCCTATCCCGAATTGAATGGAGGGATGCATTTTATTGATAAGATTGACGCTTGGCTCCTTGATTTCTTAAATGGGGTTATAGATCTGTGATGGATTTTTCATGTTTTTCTTTTCTTTCTGGGTTCTAGTGTCGGTTTACATAATAATTCTTTATTGAGCAATTGTTTGACGAGCTGTGTAGCTTGGTGGGACTGGTCACTTTTCACTGGTGCCTAATCAAACTATCCCATTTATAGGAATCAATACTCAGCTCAAATGGGTTGTTGTCTTTCTTATTAAAAAGAAAAGCATGATTCTTCCTGTCACATCTTTGATATTGCATTTGCATGTTCCATCCCACATTCTCCAACCCGAAACCAACATTTGCTGAATCATGGTCTGAAAGAGCTTCAGAGACCCAATTCCATATTTGAATATGGGGAGGTTGCTTATTTCGATTCAGTGTCGTCCCTGGGAGATGTTGCCCCACTTGGAACTGGATGCCTAACAGCAAAACGTGTGACCTAGATAGTTTTTTTTTTTTTGAAATAATGACCAACATAATTTTTGAATAATTAAAAGAATATTGATTATATTATGAAATCAACGCATAGATGATGGTGATGCTTAAATCATTAGTACTTGAGCCAATTTTGATCATCATCAAATATTTCCCTCAAGTGTTCCTCAATTTAATCCAAACTGTGTCTCTATCAACAACCAGTCTTTAAATTTGTTTTGAGAGAGAGAGATAAGGGATAATCAAGGTTCAAAGTATCAACCTGTATTGGCTCATATTGACCGATATGTATTATGTCGATGGCTTTCTGATATTGCCCCTACAGGGGTCATATCGGGTCAGACCATGGTTCAGAGGGTAGCTGCGACTTAAACTGATCCCTCTGAACTGGTTTTAAAAAAATAAATAAAACATAAAAAAAGCTTCGACACAGGCCGATATACCCTATCGGCGTATCAAAACCTTGAGGGAGAAAATAAGATTATTAACTACAACTAAAATTATCAAAAACCTTAAGGGAGGTTCTTGGAAATTTAGCTTCTTTCTTTCTTGGTGAGTTAGTTTAGACCAACCAATGACCAGAACTTGTGTCCTCTCCATAACCATGAGCACCGTGTCCTAACCCAATAACCTTTTCAGAGCTCAAGTTATTTATTTTTAGGTTTTGGTGGCCAAGTTCATGGATGTTGAATTGGTGGAGGTTAGATTGGAGTTGATGAACATATCTGTTTTCGGGGTTATATTATTTGATTGCAATGGTGTCACTTAATCTTGGCATGGTAGCATTGTTTTACATGCAACCTTCATCATTCTTTACTCTATTTCTCTTGTTTTGCCCTAATTTTTCTTAGGGTACATATTCCTTTTTTGAGTTTTCCTTTTGTTAAATACATATTCCTTTTTTGTGGTTGCACACAGAAATTGGATTTTCATGATATCATCATGTTGCTTGTCACTACCACCATTAGAGTGGTTGTTACATTGCGTGGTCAATCTGGAGAAAGTGAACATAGAACTGCACTGTTTATCTAACAAATGTAATCCCTCTCCAAAAGCTTGTTTGGTTAGTTGAAAAGAAAACAACAAACTAATTTAATACTTGGGATAACATAATTCTGGTGGATGTCCCTGATACTTTGTTTTATTGGGAATGATAAAGCTTTCATGATTTATTTATTTAGGTCTCCTGAGAACTACAGAAGTTAGGTTTACCAAATATGACCTCATTCAAATGGGGGCATGCCCTTATATCTGTATCTCTCTATTAATTGTTAGGTTGGTGTCAGAGGAGAAGAGAAGTGTTTTGTACTTATTTTTAAGCCCATCAAATCATGCAATTGTGTCATCTATAAAAAAAAAATCCTGTAATTGTGAATCCAAATGTAAGATTCCAATCCAATATAGTAACACCTTGAAAAATTAATCATCTAGGATTGGCAACAAAATGAAGAGCCATTGTCCAATGTTGGTCCTGACCTATCCCTTCCCTTGCCAAGGATGGATACCTAACATTGAGTGACTGGATTTGCCACCTACAAGAGGCTACAGCCACACATCCGGAATATGCTTCATACTTGTAATGTCGGTCATTGATGACCCATCCATGCCATGGTTTTCAAAACCAGACTGTACCGGACGGTCAGACTGGAAAAACTGGGAACCGGTTATTTAACCGGTTCTATTTTCTCTCAAAACTGCTTTTTTTTTTCAAAATTATTAATTTTGGTTAGCAAATCACTGAATCGGCCGGTTAGTCATTTGAACCATTCGAACTAGTAACTGGACTCCTGACCAATTCGGTCACTGGTTTGTTTTTAAAAACCATGATCCATACCCTTGCCAAGGATGAATACCTAACATTGGGTTACTGGATTTACTACCCACAAAAGGCTACAGCCATAGAGTATGTTTCATACCTGTATATTGTCATTGATGGGAACTGATTCTGGATGTAGAATTATAGGCTCAGTTTGAAAGGAGTACAAATACAAATACAGAGTGCAAAATCTTATATTTTGTATTATTTTTCATGTATTTGCACTGTTAGATATTTGTATTTGTACTCTTTCCAAACTGACCGATAAAGTCTTGTGGTAGCATATGCAGACTCAACGAATAGGCATTTTTTTGCTCCTCTGAGAACCTTCTCACACTCATCAGCCCGAGATATTGTCATTGCACCAAACAACAGCCCTGTTTTGATGTAATTAAATGGTTTAAATAACATAAAGTGAATTAAATTGGGGTCTGCTACATGAATCCTGTTCATCTATTCTCCTGTGTTCTGTGCCATATATATTATTAAATTCTGAGCTCTCAAATCATTTCTCACTACTTCAGACCAAGTCTTTTTTATCTATCTTGTCTCTTGTTCTTCTAGATCCCTCTCTGCAGGTGACCAAGCAAAAGAGGTGCCCGGAGGCCAGACAATGAGATCCTTTGTTTCATTTCAGCATAGAGGGTCCTTTCTAGCCCAGTTTACTGTCAGGACCGCCATGTGGCTAGGGGTTTCATAGTCCTTAAGGGGTTGTACCGAGCTTGGACCCTCCCTTTCAGTTTTCAGGTCCAGAAAACTTGGACCATCTTCAGCCCTCAAACATCAGCATCCAAGCCCAACTCGACTTTGATCGGGTCCACACGAAGTCCAGAAGGACCAGAACCCTAACATCCACGTACCCGATTCCCAACTCTCAAGGCCAAAATAACAGAAGTTTTGAGAACTATAATGAAGCGGCCAGTTGGTCCGTGTTCAAAAGAGACCGGGGTCCCTTTTCCGGGTCATAGTGAAAAGTGAAATCTGGAGACTAAAACCAGACTCTCTAAGATTTAAACTGCTGGTTGAACTGTGTTTGCTCTTTGCATAATCACTGAACATAGTGGTTAAAATTACGAACGACCAGATGCTACGTGTATAAATTATAGAAAAAAGGACATACAAACATAGGAAAGTATGTAATCTATGACAATATATGCTAAAATGTTTATTTGTATCATATATCAAAACAAACTAAACTGATACAAGCAACACAAGAAGATCTACAATTTCCATATAGGAAAGAATCAAGGAGACTGTGCAATCTTAAAGGGGAAACAATTAGAGGAATTCACATCCGCCCCCCCCCCCCCCCACACACACACAAAGCACCCCAAAAACGTCCCACAGCACATCCCAACCGTGTATTGGGAACATCTCCCAATTAGAGAGGCAATGTATCTCAACCACAGAAAGGCACCAATCAGTTCCTTAGAAAGTGCCAAGGTCCTGTTCCAGTCCCTACCCTGCAAATGTAGTTCAATATATTAAGCTACAACTTAAAATCTTTGGCTTTTGAGTTAACAAAAGCAATATATCCATTGCTTGTCAAGGAATTCCTCACTAAACCTTTCGTTGTTGATATTGGGTTCTTTAAAATTCTGAGTTTAAGCACACTGCTTTGGTTGCTTATTCAATAGACCTTAACCTTGTTCCACCCTGCCAATTAATTATCAGTGTGGTTGTTTGTTCTCTGTAAGGCTCATCTTTGTGGGGGCAGAGTCCAGACCCTTGAATAAGATAAAAATTGATTTATAAAATATTGAAGTTTCCTTCTTTTTTTAGAGAGTTCTTTGTTGTAGACAAGGGAAATTACCTCCAAACTCCAGCAAGAGCTCTCAGAGTCATATAGATGGTTAAAGCAACCCAGATTCCTACAAAACCATTACTAGAAGATAGAACAAACAAGCAAGGGATGCTCATCATAGCCACCACTACCTGAAGAAGAAACAAAAATTCCGAGCAAACATTAGTACACAGACAAGACTGAAAAATGGGCAAAGCAAGCCAACTGGTCTTCATGGTTTTATCCCAACAGACTGACCATGGAGTAAGCACAATATGCAAAATCAGATAATCCAAAGTTGACACCATCAAGAACAAATGCCAATGTATTGATGGGTTGAGTAGCTGCAACAAACTGATGGATAGTGGAAAATATATTTTAGTTCTCGTTTTGTCTTGATCAACTGCACTGTAACAAGATAGACATTGAGTAGTAAATGGTAATCTTCTATTTATTGTTTTTGTTTATACACAGAAGGAGATACCGGGGTGCCTATGATTATCAGGTGAAGAACATTATTGTCCTTTGTAAATAGCCTTGCTGCAAATGGCAAGCCAATTCCAAGACCGACTGCAAGCACCAATCCTAGAACCAAACCCAACTGCCAGAGTAGATCCATTCACGACTTTTGAGTAGTTCTTAGCAGCACAAAATTGTATAAAGTTGTTTAGTCCAAAAATCAATATTGTACCTGCAACACCCTGGACGTAGCAGCTATTGCCTTTCTGTAATCCTTTCTAGCAAATGCACTTGCAAGTATTGACTGAAAGAATATGGATAAGAAAACCACAAGCAGAGAAAAGCAGTGGAGTCCAGCTTAAACTACTTCTGTTTGGTTACTTTTGGGGAAGAACTAAGAAAAGCAGTGGAGTGCAGCTTCAATGTTTATGTGAAACATCTAACCATGAAAATTGCATCTGGTTATAGTAAGAATAACTCAGTTCTTAATTACCAGTGCACAACAGCCAATCCATCAGAAAGAAGAGATGTGGCCAACCAAATCTCATAACAGACCTGGAAAGCGGCCATGGGTGTTGATCCATGGCGTGCAGACAGTGATGCTGCCAGGGTCTGACAGAATGTTACAGCTATTACCCTAGCTAGCAATAGCCCTCCTGAATCCAGATGCATAGTATACATCAAAGATCAATCTAGAGCATTTGAAACGTGTATTGGCAACTAAGAGATATAGGAATATATTACTGTATTCTAAATATGAAACCAAAATAGTCATCTTGCGGCCAGAAACTGTTAACACCAAAATCGATTGAGGTTCATGAAAAGACAGATTGATCTAGCTAGTTACAAAGAAAAATTCAAACATCATCGGGTTTGTGTATAGAATTTGAAGAAAACAATGCCAGAAACCATCTTTAGCCAACATCCATACAGTAATCAATAAAGGTTTTGTCATCTGCATTCCCATTTATTACTGTTAATGCTTCTTTGTTAATGTAGGCATCTGAGTTGCCTAAATGATCTGAACTCGGCAATATAATCAAACTCCAACAATATGGGATCGGTCTGTTTCACCATAACAACTTCAACTCTTGAAATGCATCCAGCTCTCTCAGAGTGCCTAAGTTGGAATCACCAAGTTAAATCTCTCATTGCTTCATATATACAACAGACTTTCTATTTGTAAGCTCATACATCATCTATGCCCAACCTAGACCTCGTGACATACAAGATAATGGATAAACTTATTTCTTGTTATATGGCTTTGCTTCTGGCTTTGAATGCTTCAGCAGATTTTTAACAGTTGACCACTTCAAATGAGTCCAGTTCCTCTAAACCATATCCCTTGCCAGAATACTAACTGTGCACATAGAAGGAAAGGCTTTTGCTGGAGTGGATAAAGGCTAGCTAGAGGATCTTCACATTTCCCTAGAGGCTATGTTGAGTGTTGAAGTGGATGTTTAATTCACTGCTTCCACAGACAAGATACATATTTCGGGTGGATTTGTCACCAGACACTAAAAGGATGTAGAAATTATTTACTTTGGTATCAGTGAAATTCTTGAAGAAATCCAGCAATGGAGCTGGTATGTGAAAGCCTTGTATCGAGGATGCAAGTAGATATTTAAGATTCCATATTCATGCAGTAAGGTGAAAGCAGGATTCTGTGTGACTGCAAATAGTTTAGATGAAGCTTGTTTGAATTGGACTGAGTTGAGTTTCGTACTGCTGCATCTGTTACTAATAAGTACTAACTAGTATTTTGGTAATCCTCCATGAAATTCATATGTGCAACTATATCATGAAGTCCTGAATTTCTATCAGATATTAGCAACTAGTTGTCCATATAGGGAGTTTGTCTGATGCAAATATTAGGTGTTTGTTTAGTAAAAATGTGCATTTATTGGCTTAAGCAGTGGTCCTATATGATTGGAAATTAAGCAGGCTAAATGCAAAGATTAGACACCTTACCATTTTTTCGTGGAACTCCTCTAAATGACATGGAAACATGAAATTTATATTTAGGCATTTTAGTGATGCAAAGACTTTTTTTTTGGTAATCAGTGGTGCAAAGACTAGACACCTTACCATTTTTAAGAAATCTACTAAACTGCAGATCTTTGATACTTGGAGGCAAGAGTTCCACTTTTTGCATTAATCTCCACAACAGTATGACTGAAATTAGATACCTAAAACACCAAGAATTAATTACATGAGACCCCAAGTGGGAGAAATATTAACAACTCAAATAAGTCTTTAACTATAAAGATACAACACCACAGAAACAGAAAATAGTGATAATTCAAATAGCAGTAAGATAAACTTAACTGAGAAATAACATGGGCAATGGCTGCACCACTAACACCCATGTGGAAAACGAACATAAAAACTGGGTCTAAAATGATATTTGAAACATCTCCTGCCACTATATAAAATCACAAAAGAAAAAAAAAAGAAAATGTGGGGTTAGATAGATAGATAAATAGAAGAGAGAGAGAGAGAGAGAGAGAGAGAGAACTATATATACTAAATAACTACTTACCAGTAGCATATAAAGGAGTTTTTGTATCTTTAAATCCTCGAAAGACTCCTTGCATGGCTAAAGAAAGAAGAATAACAGGAGCACCAAGCGACCTCAATGTTAAGTACTGTCTCGCCGGCCTAAGCATAGGGGAATCCTGTTTCACTTTTAAAACAGAGATGTTCTGATGTTGTTATTTTTCATTTAATAATAAACTTAGCGTTGGATGAAGCATGGCAAAAGTAGGAGCTATAATGCCTTCATATCCAAAATCACTAGATCATTAATTCATTACCACTATAATCACCAATTTTCTGAATATATGTCACAGAATGACTAAAAAAAGATGACAGAAAATTCAATGCCCTCTGAGGTTCCAAATGAAGCCACTTACTGAATGGACACCCATGAACTTCAGGAGAGGTTTTGCTGCAAATATGGGAAGCATGGTTTGAAGAAGGCCAAGAACCCCACCAACCACTAAGGCCGTGGATGCCGATGGAATGTTCTTCCTCTTATTCTCACATTTTGACATGCTTGAGTTTCCACTAGTAGTGGATGGTGGGTTGTCCACAGTTCTATCAGAATCTGATGAAGAGTTTAGCAAACTTGTTAATTAACTTTATAACTGATCGAACTATTCAGGTTGCTACATGTAACAACAGATCAACAATTTGAAGTTCATTGAAATGTACAACTCTTAAGAGTCAATACAATCTACTGCCACAATGTATGAATCCTTATAAACAAGAAATAGAAAAAGAACATACCAAACTGAGAATCTTTTCTGTCATTGCTTACGACTAAATCCTTGTCCAAGTTTTCATTTTCTTGTTCTTGAACGTTCACTTGTTTTCCACTAGTATTTTCATAGGTCATTTCACTGTTTATGGTGTGGGTTTCTACGTTATGATCACTTTCTTGTTCCTCGACTCTCACTGTTGTTTCAGTATCTATTGTGCTGCTTTGATAGTTGTTAGCTAAACGCTTTTCCAAGTCTTGACCTTCTTTTTCAACTGTCACTTCTTCCACAGCATCTTCCTCCGCAACAGAGGAAGTTGTGACGCAGACTATTGGAAATACTGTAATCCTTGATACTTGATTAAACAAAGCAATAGAAACCCCCACAGCAGCAATTTGCACTGGACCTGTAACTTTAAAGATCAAAATAGAAACTTCGGATTGGAATCGGAATGGTCTATTAGTCTGTTTGGTTCAGACAGGAATGAGAATGGAAATTGGAATAAGCTGAAAAAGATTTCATTCCCAAGGGAGAGAAAGGGAATGGTCATTCATGGGAGAATGGCATGGGAGTGGGGTCCTGATACCGCCCAACCAAACAGTCATTTCAATTCCGATTCTACGCCACTATTCTTACGAATTAACCAAACGTGCCCTTAGTTTCTGTTAGTAGGGTATACTGTTTTCTGTTCTTTTTAAAACAGCTTTACTAGCAGAATTTGTACTATATACATCCATTATTGGCACAGTTTAATAGTTACCGTTTCAACTGACAAAAGGAAAGATCTATCAAAAAAACTGACAAAGGAAATTGTGTCTAATAGGCCAGCTGCTAGCTTCTGCTACCGTTTAATTATTATTCTTGGCAGTGTCAAGTTTGCACCAATTTTGGTGGTTAAGTTCAAGGTTTTAAACTTAGGCTATTGATGAAGCTTTTACAAATGAGGTAGATTATACAAGAACCCATATTGATCCGACTAGAAATCTTTTAGCAAACTACTAAAAGAAGCATGGTAATACAAAACATTTTTTTCAGGGTAGGGTAGCTTTTACTTATATGCTTTTAGGGCTATAACAAAGACCCCATTAACTTTGGGGTAGTGGCAATTACCCCATTAAATTTCATTTGCAACAAAGACCTTCTTCAACTCTCAGAGATCCTCTCACTTGGCATTCAGTTGGCTAACTTTGAAAAAGATTTTCATGTGATTATTTATTTATTTTTTTTAAATCTCTAAATTACCCTTTTTCCAAAGATTTTTTAATGTTTTTTTTTTCAATTTCCATTTGTTATGATTTTTTAGTGTGTTTTTTTTTTTTAATTTCCATTTGTTACTGGTTTAGTTGATATTAATTACATATTGTGTTTGTTGAAATTGCAAGTTTTCATAAAAGTTTCTTGCTTTTTTTTTGTTGCAATTTTAATTTTATATAAGTTTCTTGAGTGGGTATTTTGGTAAATTAACTTTTTCCCGTTACTCAACTTAACGGAAAGGGGTGTTTGTTGGAAAAAGTTCAGGGCAAATGAAAGTTGAGGTGGGTAATTGCCACTAAGTAGATAGTAGTAATTTACCTTTTTTTTTAAAAAAACTTCATCCAACCCCTACACTTTGTTTAATTCAATAAATTTATTTCTTTAAACTTATTTTTTTAATATACTTTTGTTCATCAAAATGGCTGAAAATTAAAGGTTATAATTAAGTTCATTATTAGTAATTAGGTTGATGATTTTAATAGCTCTTTCTTTATGCCTCTTTTTTTTTTTCTTTGGTAGATAAATAGTTATACGCCTCTTAGAATTACTAAAAGCAAATATTGAAGCAATATTAATCCTTGAACAAAAATAGTAAAACGAAGGATTATACCTTAATTAATGAGAATATTTTTATCCATCTTACTCCTTTAATTGATTCTTTTAGACTTTTTCATGCTAAACAGTTCTCTACCTGATAGTTTATCCATGGTATGTACTGAGTTATGTCAAACTTTCTTATCAAATATATCAAATTTGGATCATTTTATTGTATTGATTTTTGGTGTACCTATTAGAAGATGAGTCCTTGACCAAATTAAGAAGAAAGAAAATAGATAGTGGGTTTGATTTTCTTATTTATTGGAGAGTTGGCAACTTAATTAAAGGGCACCTCATGATTGCTGAGTTTCCCTCGAATGGAGCAAATGATAATGTTTTCCATATCTTTCAGTGGCTTCATGTAGAAACTTAATTTGAGGAGGGTCTCTATGATGAAGAAAGAGATCGAAACAATTCCTTTTGGCTCAAGAATGAAGATGTCTTAGAAGATGGCATAGAAAGCATAGTACGGTTGTGTTTGGAAGTGATGTAAATCAAGATTGATATAAATATTTATGTTGTTTTTTTTTTTGTCGGTGTTTAGAAGGAGTGTAAATCAAGATCAACGTAAAATTCCACTACTCGATGTAAAACTCCATACTTCTAGAAGCTCAATGGTCACTTTTTTATGGTTCAATGTAAAACCTTATCTATCTACTTTTACACTGATGACATTTTACATCGATTCCAAACGCAGCATAAGCTACAAATATTGTACACCAAGGCTAATAAATTAATATGATATCCATTACAATGAATAGAATTTAATATTTAATGTTATATAAGAAATTATTAGAAAGCGAATAATAAGGAGTTAAATTACCTAAGTGGCCAATAACAGCAGTGTCAATAAGGGAAGCAATAGGATCAGCAGCTAAAGCCAGTGCAGCAGGAATTGCAATACGCGCTATCTCCTTTCCAAGATCATCCTTCTTGAATACAAGACTGCCCATGAGATTAACTATATAATTACTACAACTACTCTTATCTTGTAAACGCAATTCTTGGTAATTAAGTGAAGTGATCTCCATTGAATATCTCAGGTTTAAGGGAAAATTCTCAATTAGTGCCTTATATTTTGGGTCTAATGTTACTTTGGTCTTTGAACTTTAAAATACGATAATTCAGTGTCTAAATTTTCAAAAGTGACAATCTAATACTTGCCGTTAATTAGATGTTTACCTACCATTAAGTGATATTTGAAAAAAAACATAAATGCTCTTCAAATGCCATTTAATTTTCTTTATCTACCATCTAACCGTTGACAAAAAATTAACAGTCCAAAATCCTTGCCTGTTCCATTCAAGAAAGTTGGCGTTACGTTTGTGTGGATATTCTGGTGACCCCAACTTTCTTGAATAGAAGAGACAAGGATTTGCGACTGTTAATTTTTTGTCAATGTTTGGATGATTGATAAAGAAAATTAGGTAACACTTAAAAGACATTTGTGTCTTTTTCAAATGTCACTTAACAACTAGTTAACAACAAGCACTAAGTTGTTACGTTTTGAAAAATATCGATCATATTCTCTTATAAAATTAAACCAATAAGTAAATTAAAGTAATACTTGCGTCCTTTAAAAAAATGAAAATAGGCATCCTTGGCCCTGCTTATAGATGGACTTGAATGGGCATCCTCCATATTTAATTCGGTACCTCTAGCTCTTGCTATATATCACTTCATATATGCTCCGTGAAACCGATATGGATCTCTAGGACTAAACGCCAACAAATTGCACAAGCAGCATCGACACTTGTTAGGCTTATTTGTGCCAAATATGCATGATCGATCAAATGCTAAGATTAAGAAAATGCAAACTCGACAGTCATCTGGCCATGAAATTATTACAGATTATCCAAAGAAGAACTTGCGCATCAAAATTAAACAAGAAATCTCTGGAGATACAAGAAGAGGTCATAATTAATGCTACACATGTAGGAAGAAAAACATTAAGCAAACAGAAACAGAAAAAAACATGAAATATATTAATATGCATGCATGTATAATTCAGTAAAGAAGCGAAGAACTGCAAATGAAGCTCATCAATATTTTGGAAACTATGAACGAATTCCAAGACAAGGGTATGGTATGAACTATATAAACTACCTTTTTTTTTTTTCTACAGAAACCAACAAATCTTCTAACTTGATGATGCCACACACTGTACTTAATAAATAACTCATGTGGTATATATAAGCCGAGCTAGCTGCTAGTCTGCAGCTACTTAAGATAAAGGTGACCCATTTCATTTAGACAAATTAATTAAACCAGACAGTTCGACCAGTTGCAGGTAGAAACAACTTGGGAAAACCATGTGTTGATTGTTGAATAAACTCAGTCAACAAATACATACACCAAGAGGAGAGGAATATACTTTCATCCACTGATAGATCTAGTCCCATTATCCATCTTTACTGGTAATGGGTCTCTTTTAAAACATTATATCCATGGATCAGAAGGGGGGGGGGGGGTCTCCTCCACCACAAGACATGAATGGATTGGTGTGAGAATGAGATGGAATTGTAGTTAATATTTATATTAAATTGCAATCTCATTCAAAAGTGGGCGTTTATATATATGTTTATGATCAGGCTCATCAATCTTTTCATCTTTGTGGGTGTTGAGTAGACCCCATGCTCATATGAAGTGAAGGAACATCTCCTCACGTTAACAATTCATTTGTGCAATTAATTCAGAGATTAATTTAATTGATCCAAATTCCAAACTATATATGAATCTCCTTAGTTTCTTGACTATGTGCTCATTGAATCACATCATATATAAACAAGTAGTTAAGTAGTACAGATTGAATTGTCTTCTCCGTATGTGCATGCGACATGCGGCGGAGAGTTATTAAACAAAAAAAAAGCAAATGAGGCAACGATTGTCCTTCTCTTTTATTGGATTGGAACTTTTCGGTTGGGAAATTAGTATAATAGTAATACCATTGGACTGCACACAGATCGCGGCCATGCAATGGATCGGGTTGACCCGATTCCTGATTTCGGTATACCCGCATTTAAAGTGTTTTGATGCTCAGTCTCTCAGACCAGTGCTACAATTGGACCCAAATATGAAAACAGGCTGGCATGTTTGAAGACATTTTTATAAGATCCAACCTGAATGAAAAAAATGGGTCAGACATAACTTCAACCATTCTGCACTCCAGATCGATCCATTTCCCCACCTGATGAAGATCCGCATCCGCTCCAGACCCACCTGTTTCATTCTGAGGTTTGTATATATCTATTTTAGAACAATTTGCTGGATATGGTTAAGCCATGACCTGTCTTCATGAAAGCCACTGAAACTGAAACTCGTCAGATTATTAAAGCATAATCTTTTTGTAGTTTTTGGTTGGTACGTTGCATTAACAAGTGCGCCCTTCTTATATTCTTGAAAAAAGCAAAAGCAATCTCAGTGGCACCTGGCTGGATGTTGTTAATATGAGGGCACCCTCATTAAAAATTTCCTCCTTAGAATCCTGTAAACGCAACTATACTTATTGCTGATACCTTGAGTTGTTTTTAGTTTGTGAGACTACTTCACTCTTCTCTTTTTCACCCTAGCACATAAAATCAGAGGATACAGAGATTCATGTGGTTGAATAATGGATATTGCTGTTTTGATTAATTCAATTGTAGTACAACAAGAGAGCTTTCTTCTTCAGACTTCACTAATTAAGAATATATATATATGCAACTTAATGGAGTCTCGATTAATAATCAGGACGGTTCTGGGTCTTAATACTTGGTTCAGGACTCGTATAGACAGCCCCACCCCTCCCACCCATTAAGTCATATTTGTAGTTTCAAAAATTAAAAACCCGGATTGACTCAGACCCTGTTTGGGAGGGCCAAAGCTTTGGTTGGGCCATTCTGAAAAAGTCAATTAGAGATGCTTGCCATGTAAGGAAGGATCAAAATTTCTTTAGGCTCAATTTGGAAGGAGTATTAGAATACAAAATCTTGTATTTTGTATACGTTTACACTGTACATATTTGTATTTGTATTCCTTCCAAACTGAGTCTTAGGTATTGGATCATATTGGCCGATACGTATTGGTAGGTCATTGATATGCTTATTTTACATTTTTTTAAACAATTGTTTAAATTTTAAATAACCTTATTTCCCACCTCTGATATTTTGAAAAGAAAAAAAAATAAACGTGTTAGGTTCAGAGTACTGATACACCCCCCTCCGGCATATTGGACTGTATGGATATTTTCAACCTTGCATGTAAGTGGCTGAAAACCAAACATCCCCTTTCTACTTTGCAATTGCTTTACTTATTGCTACTGGTTCTCTTAGATGAAAACATAAAATAACTCTTTTTTGACCATAATGCTTGCTTGGACAAAATAATTAAAAGGAAAGAAATAACCAAAATGTTGATGTGTAATAACATAAAATAAAAAAAATAAAAAATTAATAGAAAAAATAAAAGAAAATAAAAAATAAAAATAGAAAATAAAAAATATTTTTTTTTCTATTATTGTCTATTTTACTTCTATTCTTTTATTTCTGTTGTCTTCCTTTATTTTGTTTTAACTTTTGTGTTTTAGTTTTTTCCTATTACCTTTTGTTTTAGAAATAAAATAATACCAGGGGAGGGATTGTCTCTAAAATGGTGATATGAGACCTTTTACAGGTATTTTCAGAATAAAAAAGGGGTTTTTGACTGTTCAGTTCAGTCCATTCCAACAAATTTTAACTCCACCATACAGTTGGGTAGGTATTAGCTCCAACAAATTTTAACTCCACCATACAGTTGGGTAGGTATTAGCTCGGAATTGATGCCAATACATAAGTGAGTATTGGTGTGATAGGTGGAATTATTTAAAATTTTAAATTATTATAGGTCTATAATAGAATTCAAAATTCTGAGAAAAAACCACTCCAAAATAGATATATAAACCTAAGGGTGAAACTTGGGTGGGCACAGTTTGAATTTTTTTTGGTCAAATCTTGAATGAGACAGGCCCTAAGACTCAACTCAAGCCCGAAATAGTGTAAAATACTAACATGGACCAACCCGATTGCACCCTACAAACAACGGAAGGTGCACCTGCATTAATTAAAACAGTTGCAAAATAGTGGGTGGGTGCTTTAATAATACGCAAACTGTAGGATGGGTTTTAGTATTTATAAAAAACTATATAATAGATGTTATTCTTTATAAATAACCCATGATTTAATTGCTCTACTACCCATTGGAGCTAATGGACATGGGACTTTTGCCCCTTTTCGGTATATATATATATATATAAACCCAAACCTGTCCCAAATCCTATAGGGTTTTAATCTAAAATCTCAAATCTCAAAGTTTTGATAAACAGGTCTTATTAAGGCCGGACAGGTTGGATATCCGAAAATTCTCAGGGTTTTAATCTAAAATCCTAAACCCGTCTCAAACCCTTTGATAAAGGGGTCCTATTGGGATCGGACAGATTAGATACCCAAAAATTCCCACGAAATTGCTATCCCTAACTGGGTCTTAAGACGAGCCGATTCAAATTGTCTGAATAAAATTCTATGGGTTTTCACCACGTAAAGGCATGGCAAATCTAGAATTTCATATTAGTCATCTGGGAAGAAGACCCCCTGGATTCCTAATGTACCTTATGCTGTCTAAACTATGGTGGACGAAGATGAACAATAGGTAAAGTCCTATTGAGCTAGATGGGCTGAGCTAAGAAGAGCTGTGGAAGATGAGTTATGCAAGACGAGTTAGAAAATCGATGACTTGCAAGAAGCCGAAGTCAGAGAACTCAAAATAGCTAGAGAAGAACGCTCCAATGCTCAAATCAGTAATCAAGAGAGAGGAGATAGGTTAAGCCAAATTGTTAAGGATGAACTGGTCTTAGCTGAATAAAGTTAAAAGGAGAAAGAGAGCAAGAGGGCTAGAATTTCGAAAGAGTGGAAGAAACAGGATACCTCATATGTCGTACCCTTAAATACTCACTGGAGGGCACCATGGTGTTCCTCACTTTTCAGGATGCGTGGCATGCATTAGGATGGCCTTCTGCCAAGGTCTTGGGACCATTCCTCATCATAGGGGCCATGTGGAGATCGTTGTTCACCACATGTCGCTCTCAGCCTGAGGTTTTTGTTATGCATCACGGCTGTTGCTTCTGACGTGTGATGGTGCCCCACATTGTCAACCCAGTCGAGTTCGTGGCCAGCTCCTCATCCACATCATTGCCCACGTGGCGGTCCAACCGGGCTGGGATGCGACCCCATCAGTACCCTTGGAAGTTGATACTCGTATATATTGATTCAGATGGGTGGATCTTTTGGCCATATAAAAGAGAGGACTATTTAGTTGAAATTCGCAACATTGGTAAAACTTAAAAGGTGACTAAAACGTATGAATCCATTTAATTTTCCACCGTGGCTGCCACATGTTTTAACCTTGTATAAACAGGATTTCAAGTCTGTTGGCAGAAAATTTGAGATGAACGGGAGCAAATACCATGCCAATAAATGTCTATAGGTTGAACTTGGTAAGTTCCATAATGGAATGGAAATGGAGATTCAAAATACTGAAACTGAACAGTTTATAAGATCATATCCCTTCTAGCTTTTTTTCAATTATAGACCAACTCTTACGAGCAATTCCTTGTCTCTATATGTATACATTGAGTGACTTTGTCTTTCGAGGCATTTGCATCATGCCTGAAAATATATTCAACTATGTGCCACAGAAATACTTGTTAAGGACACTAAAGAAGCAAGAGCAACCGGAGATGAGATTTTGAATGAGCAGAAATTTTTCATAGAAAAAAAATTATGGAAAATTAAACCCTTGTAAGAAAAACTCTGATGCCGGTATGTTCTCACTCCCAGCCACAAAAAGGCAACAATTAGCTCCTGAGAAAGCTCCAAGGTCCTGTTCCAGTCCCTATTCTGCAAATAAAAGGGGCAAAAATGTTGGAAAAAGCTCAGATTCTAAATTCTCCATCAGTAAGTACTAAGTAGTTCATGGGAGTTTTATAAGGAGGTCTCATCTAACTCTTAATTATGTTGTCATGGATTCCCAAAATATATAGTTTAAAGGATCTTCCTTCTAGGAACAGGCTTCTTAGCACTTCCCCTAATGGATACGTTTGGAAATCATAAAACATATCTGACTATAAGTCATACCCATCCAGTCAACAGGCAGTGAGCTCTTAACTTGCTTTGTTCTTGATGAGGTTTCATTAAATGTATGGGCATAAAGGGCAATTACCCAATATTGGTCTGGACTGTTTGCGGTCTTGGGAACGGGTAGGCTGGTATGGACCTAACCTCTGGCATTTTTTTTTCCACCAAGTGCCCGCTCTCAGACTTGAGCCCAAATTCTAACGCTTGTCAGTCCAATATCAGTCCAGTATTTTAGCATTGCACCAGGCAATACCAGCTGAGTAAACATTTTGACATACTGGTCTGTAAATAATAGGATGATTTCTAGCATTTAATGTGAAAGACCTTTTCAAAAGGGGGTTCTAATTTTCAGTATTTTGCAAAAAGGATTATATACTAGGCGTAATGTAATTACCTCCAAAAGCCAGCAAATGTTCGCAGACTCATGTAGATGGTCAAAGCTACCCAGATTCCAATAAAACCATAAGCCGAAGAGAGAATAAACAAGCATAGTATGCTGACAATTGCTACCAGAACCTGAAGAAAGAGAATTTTCACAAGGATATTTTTTAATTTATATCAAATAGAAGGTAAAGAAAGATAGATTTCCAATTTTTTTCTTCCCTAAACATATAATGCAGGTGGGTTGTTAAATTCTTGAGGCTACAGAACTTACCATGGAACAAGCAGAATATGCAAAATCAGATGCTCCAAAGTTGACCCCATCAAAAACAAAGGCTAAGGCATTTATGGGTTGAGTAGCTGCAACAAACTGATGGGTAAAGAAGAGATGTTTCAGTTCCATAGTTATCTGAAGCATTTTTTCTTTTTCTTTTTTTTTTTTTTTGGGGGGGGGGGATAGTAGTAATCTTCTACTGTAGAAAAGATATACCGGTACTCCAATGCTTATAAGGTGAAGAACATTGATGTCCTTTGTAAATAATCTAGATGCAAACTGCAAGCCAAATCCAAGGATGATAGAAAGAAACGCCCCTAACACCAGTCCTAACTGCAAAATAGATCCATTGACAACTTTCAGAGGAAATCTCAACAGACAGGGTAAAGCATGGTGTATTTTTTCTGTTAAAAAGAGATATACCTGCAATACACGGGATGCAGTGGCTATTGCCTTGTCATAATCATATCTAGCAAATGCACTTGCAAGTATTGCCTGAAAAGACTCTGAAACCATGAGTGCATGTTATGGCTAAGAGATTCAGAAAAATATAAGAATACATTAAATACACTATCCCAAAATTAAAGGAACTCTGTGAATCACATCCCTTTTTAATTGATCACTTAAAGATTTGAAATGGTAAGAACAATTCTGGGTTCAAGTAAGACAGATGGAGAGCACAAGAAAAATGATTAATAAATTGAATATACTAGCTTAGAAGATACTGTAGACATTGAGAGGGAATTATAAATTCAAATCCACTGTCTAAATAGAATGTCGAGCGCCTATATTTTACTTTTTGTAACAATTAGAAGCATGTGCCACTTGAATGTGACAGGATTAGAAACCAAATTTGGGCTCTAAATTTGCAAATTCGTGGAAAACTTAATAATTATATTTTTGTAATTAAGATATTGCACTACATAACTTCCTCTTTGGTGAAAGAATGGTTACTATGCAATTCTTTTATTATCACATATACCTTTATTGAAAGAAGGGGAACTTTTTTTGTTCCCCAAAATCATTATTTTTATTTTTATTCATGATGTTTGAATTTTATTCATCAGCAATAGAGAAATGAATTGTATTGTGTAAAACAAGGGTGCAACAGTACATTGATAAAACTTTCCTTTTAATTGTAAACATAGGATAAGATAAAATAGGAAATCTTTACATGCAATACATGAATTTACCATTATAAGCAATAGTTCTTCATTGAATCTGTAGAAGGTGAAAAATGTAAATTATTCCTGTGGATATATCCTGAAGATGATAAACTCAAGGATAAAAATTTTGCAATGTATCGGACTGTATCAGCAGGTCACCGATTTGTTGTGTAGAGAGACTGGGCTGAATGGGCCTTTATCTTCTGTTTTGTTTTTGTAAGTGTATTGCTGATGTGGATGCCTACTTAAGGGCCTCCTTGTAAATTATGTAACTTAAGTAAGTTTAATAAAATATTAGAGTTGGGGAAAGAGGAGACTATCGAACTCCTCCTTTCTTTCTCCTTTCTTCTCCATTTTTCCTCCTTGCTGTCTTCCTCTTCTTCCTTCCATCTTTCTGCTCTAATCCAAATATTTTTGTTAATTTTATTGGTCTGAATCACATCTTGGTATCAGAGTAGGTCTTCCTTTGTTTTCTCCTTTTTTTTTTTCTTTTTTTTCCCATACACTTTTTTTTCTAATCGAAAGGTGTATAAAGAGATAAATTGCTGATCAATTAGAGATCTTGTTTGCCTAGTTGGTAGAGGGTTTGGAGAGTCAGAAGTTGACCGAAGATTGCCAAGAAAGTGGGACTGCAGAATTTTTCCCAAAACCCTAGCCGACTAGAGAGTTTCTAGTTACGGGTTGAAGAGGCTGTTTGGGTGTGGTGCTCAAGGCTTAGAGGGTTCCTTTTTATCTCCAAAAGTGGGCGGCTTCAGTTGGAAGTGGTTTGGATTGCTCTGGTTTGAGCGGCTACCTTTTCTCTCTTTCTCCTCGGAGGCCAGGTACGATGAAACCCTAGTTTTGGGACTTTTGAGTGTTTGACTGACCTTAGTTAGGTCTATAAAGGTTGAAAACATTGTTTTTTGATTTTCGTTTGATTGATAGAGCAATCTGGAAGTGAGATGAAGCAGATCCTAGTGTCGGGGGTCCCGCAGATTCCATTATGACAGGAGTGATTACAATTAAACTTGACGGAACAAATTACCTTGCTTGGGCACAATCTATTAATATCCATGCCTGTAGTAGAGGTAAACTAGGGTTTCTCATGGGTAGTAAGGTGATGCCGGAAGAGACTGATCCTACATATGAGAAATGGATGCAGGATAACTACACAGTTATTGGGTGGTTGGTAAATTCTATGCAGCCCCACATAAGTCAACACTATCTGTGGATGACTTCAGCCAAGGAGATTTGGGATAGTGTTACAGAAACATACTCTCAGAAATTAAATGTTGCGAGGGCCTACAAACTGAAGAATGATGTGAAAAATTTTAAACAGGGGGAGAAGAGTGTGCTGTCTACTATTCGATGTTGAAGTCACTATGGCAGGAGATAGATGTTATGGAAGTATTCGTATGGGAAAGCACCAAAGATGCAGAAACTTTTAGAAAATTTGTGGAAAGAAACAGAGTGTTTGAATTCCTTACAAGACTCAATCCTGAATTTGATATTACAAGGCAAAATATTTTGGCCAAGGATGAAGTGTCACTTGCTCAGGCATACTTTATGGTGAGCAGTGAAGAGAGTAGGAGACAGGTACAACTATAGACCCCACCTCCCCCAGAACATTTTGCACACGCTGGATTAAAACCAAAGGGGGTAAATGAAAAAAAGGAGGTGATATGTGAATATTGCAAGAAGCTGAAACATACAAAGGATTCTTGTTGGAAATTTCATCCAGATCTTCTTCCAGAAAGGTTTCGGAACAACAACAATTTTAAGAAGGGTGATCAGTCTGAAAAACCCAAGAATGCAAATGTTGCTACAATATCTGAAAGTGAAGAAAAATCTGCTGTGGAACAGCTGGTAGCAGTGAAGGCAGAATTTGAGAGATATGGGAAGTTGACACATCACTTGGAGTCTACTGTTGCATCTTGCTCCTCAGGCACCCCCTCTACATCCGCCTTTGCCCATTCAGGTATTCGTGCTTCTACAAATCATGCTACAACCTCAGGTTATCGTAGAATTCCTTGTATCATAGATTCTGGTGCATCGGACCATATGACTAGCTTATCCAAACTTTTTGTTCATACCAGCTCCTCTCGGGTAGAGAGAAGATTTCTCTTGACGATGGACCTCTTGCTCCCATCTCTGGAAAGGGGGATGTTAGAGCCTATGACTCACTTGTATTATCCTCTGTCCTTCATGTTCCCAAACTTAGCACTAACCTTTTATCTGTTAGTAGTTTAACAAAATCAATGAACTGCAACATAACCTTCTTTCCTACTTATTGTGTTTTTCAGGACCTAAAGTCTCAGCGGACGATTGGGAATGGCCATGAGGCGAATGGGATATACTTGTTGGATGTCTCTGATCAAAGTTTTGGGTTACCTATGGAGTTTGTTCTATCAGAGTCAGTTGATAGAGTCATGATATGTCATTTCAGATTTGGTCATTTGTCTTTTTCAGCTTTGAGTCATTTGTTTCCAGAAATGTTTAAGGGAATATCCCTATCGAGTCTTCATTGTGAGTCATGTGAACTTGCAAAACATTGTGGATAATCTTTTTCAGTGAGTAATAAAAGATCTATTTCTCTTTTCCATATTGTGCACTCTGATGTGTGGGGGCCATATCATTTACCTGCTATGGGGGTTACAAATATTTCATTCTTTTCATTGACGATTTCTCTCGTTACACCTGGATTTACCTCATGAAATCCCGAGATGAAGTACCAAATATTGTACAAAGATTTCATGAATTTATACTTACCCAGTTTAACACTTGGATCCAAATATTCTAATCTGATAATGCAAAGGAATATTTTGAGGAGCCTTTCCTCCCATTTTGATACCTTTGGAGTTATTCATCAAAGTTCCTATTCCTACACTCCTCAACAAATGGAGTGGCGGAAAGGAAGAACAGACATGTGGTTGAGGTTGCAAGGAGCCTCCTTTTTGCTTCCCATGTTCCTGTTAAGTTTTGGGGGGATGTTGTCCTTACAGATACATACTTGATAAACCGAATGCCTTCCCGGTTTCTGGGGTTTAAAACTCCCTTCAGCTTGCTTTTCCCAAATGAGGATCTCTTCTCTCTTCCTCTCAAAGTGTTTGGGTGCACTTGCTATGTTCATGTTCACAGTCATCAAAGACATAAGTTTGAGCCTAAAGCACACAAGTGTGTCTTTTTGGGATATGCCTCAACATAGAAATGATCCTGTTATTTTGATCCAGTTCGTGGCACTAGCTTTGTTTCCAAAGATGTCACATTTGCAAAGTTTGTTCCTTTCTTTGGTACTTCTCCTGAGGGGGAGCATTCAGAGGAGTTGTTTACATTGTCACCATCTATTCCTCTTCCACTTCCCATTGAATCGAGTCTTCTATTGGCTCTTCTTCTCATGTTCCTGCTCCCCCTCCTCCTCCTGCTCATCCTCCCACATTTCCTTCCCATCCTATTATCCAAAGGTGGTACTAGAGACAGAGACTCAGAGACATGCAAGTTGATTCCACGCCTTCAGATGTGCCTCTTGCTCCTCCCATCACTACTGAGGTAATAGGTCAGCCCTCTTCTACCACTTCGGATACCTTACCTGACCTTGATCTCCCTATTGCCCTTTGCAAAGGCAAACAGAAATGTACATCTCATTGCATTTCCAAACACCTGTCCTACAACCTTCTTTCCCCTTCCTACTATTCCTTCCTTGCCTTTGTTTCCACACATGTGACTTCCAGATCTGTCCCAGAAGCCTTGTCCAAATCAGAATAGAGGGATGCTATGATGACTGAACTAGATGCTTTGCATAAGAACAATACCTAGAAAATTGTGGATTTGCCTGAGGGAAATGAACCGATTGGTTATAAGTGGGTGTTTACTATTAAGTATCATTTTGATGGTACTGTTGAAAGATATAAGGCCCATTTGGTTGCTAAAGGGTATACTCAGATGTATGGTATTGACTATTTGGAAACTTTTGCCCTAGTAGCCAAGATGACTTCAGTTCGAGTTTTACTATTTTTAGCTACTGCTTTTGATTGGCCTCCAGGGGTGTATGGGAAGGAGATGCAAGGAAAGGTCTGTAAATTGAAGAAGTCCCTTTATGGCCTTAAGCAATCTCCTCGAGCCTAGTTTGACAGATTTCGGGCTGCTCTTGTTGCTTTTGGGTACACATAGACTCAGTCGGATCATGCCTTGTTTGTTAAGAGGAGAGATTCCTTAGGGACCCTTCTGATTGTCTATGTTGATGATATTGTGGTTACTGGTAATGACACCCAGGAAATTGTTCATCTCAAAAGTTTTCTTAACACTGAGTTTGAAATTAAAGACTTGGGGGAACTCAGATATTTCTTGGGAATTGAAGTTGCCAGATTTAAGGATGGTCTCTTCTTTTCTCAACGGAAGTATGCTCTTGATCTTCTTGCAGATACTAGTAAACTGGGTGCTCGACCTACTTCTATTCCTATAGACCTAAATCATTAGCTGTCAGCTATTGATAAGAAAGTGCTCCAGAGATTGATAAGGGAGTGTTCCAGAGATTGGTTGGGAAGTTATTATACCTCTGTATGACTCGGCCAGATATTTCCTATGCAGTTAGTGTAATTAGCTAGTTCATGCATTCTCCCAGAGATGCACATTTAGTAGCTGATGAGAGGGTTCTATGCTACCTAAAAGGGACTCTAGGGAAAGGTATCTTGTTTGCTAAGCATGGACACATGAAGCTGGAAGCATACACTGATGTTGACTGGGTCGGATGTATTGATAATAGGAGGTCCACTTCAGGTTATTGTGCTATGGTAGCAGGGAACATTGTATCATGGAGGAGTAAGAAGCAGTCTATAGTGGCAAGATCCTCAGTTGAAGCGGAGTACACGACAATGGCACATGGAATTTCTGAACCTTTGTAGTTGATATCACTTTTAGAAGAACTGGTATACACTATGAGAAGCCAATGATGTTATATTGTAACAACCAGATTGCTATCAACATTGCACATAATCCTGTTCAACATGACAGAATTAAGCACATTGAAGTTGACAGGCATTTTATACGAGAGAGAAAGTTGCCTCAGGAGAAGTCTGCCTACCATTTGTTGCTTCTGAAGAACAGCTAGCTGATGTTTTGACAAAAGGTGTTCCTAAAGTCAAGCTGATTCACTATATAAGCAAGTTGGGCATGGTTGATATCTATGCTCAGCTTGAGAGGGAGTGTAGAGAGACTGGGCCGAATGAGCCCTAGTCCTTTAGTGTCATTCTTATTAGTTCCTTCTTGTTATGTTTTCTTATTGGGCCTTGTTTCTTTATGGGCCTTTAGCTTCTGTTTTGTTTTTTTAAGTATATTGCTGATGTGGACACCTACTTAAGGGCCTCCTTGTAAATTATGTAACTTAAGTAAGTTTAATAAAAGATTAGAGTTGGGGAAAGAGGAGATTATCGAACTCCTCCTTTCTTTCTCCTTTCTTCTCCATTTTTCCTTCTTCTTCTTGCTGTCTTCCTCTTCTTCCTTCCTTCTTTCTACTCTAATCCAAATATTTCTATTAATTTTATTGGTCTGAATCACATCTTGTTTCTTTTAAGGAATTTTTGAGAACCGTTTTTAAACGTTAAACATTAATACTCCCTCCCCTCTCCCGAATTTTGATGAAAAACTAAAAGAAAGGTTAGTGTGAGGTTCAAAGTAGTGATACACACCATCCACCATATCTGGGTGTATCAATACTTTAAACTTTAAATAAACTCCTAAACATGTTCATTGTTTGCAACAAGAAATTGCATCTGTTACCTGTCCAGCAACAGCCAATCCATCAGCAAGGAGAGATGTTGCCAACCAAATTTGCAGACAGACCTGGAATGCAGCCATGGATGTTGATCCCTGGTGTGCGGCCATTGATGCTGCTAGAGTCACGCAGAATGTCACAGCTATTACCCTTGCTAGCAATAGAAAACCTGAGTCCAGATGTGAAAGTGTTAAACATCACAAACTAGAGCATTTGAAAATATTGTTAATTAACGGTAGAAATAGAAAAAAGATGTAATATGAAAAGAAATAGGATGAGAAACCAAGATCTCTCAAGGTAGCTATATTATATTAATACAATTACTTGGTAATCCAACCATGCATGACTGAGGTTAGAATTTCAAATATATATCAAGAGAAGTGTGAAGGTCTATATCAACAAAATTTTTACTAATAACCAGCATTAATATGCTTGACAATTATTTCTAATATTCCAATACTCTTTCAAAATGGATTTCACAAAAGACTCAACCAGGATAGCCAATAACCTGTAAAATCTCATGAAGAAATAGTTTTGCTTGATTTTCAGCATTTGATGTCACACATGATCTGTGTTAAATTAATCAACTCAGGTGACTTATTTTAGGTTCTTGTAATTGCATAATGGAATAAAAAATCACTAACAGGGAGGTGTTTGTTTAAAACCAGTATTGTGCTGGTATGGGGTACACCCTATTGATTCTTTTTTCTTTGTTTTCTTTCTTTCCTTTTTTTTAGAAAGAAGGTAAAGTATGGTTTTGAATTATAAAGCAAAAAAGTCATGTACAACAAGTTGCTGTACCCAAGGCTTACAAAAGCTTCCCCTGCAGCACTATGACCCCAACCCCTGGTTTACAGAAAGATTTCCATATACAAAGAAGGGATCATGATTTGTATTACAGCTTGTGCATAGCTAGCCATTAAAACATCTTTCCCAAAGCCTTCTGAAATGTAGAGTCCACAGAACTGCTTTTGCCTACTTTGCATTCCTCTCCTGCCATAGACACCCTATTGATTCTTGAGGGACACTTCCATGTAACATTTTCTTTCTCTCCTTATTTGACATAAATGAACAGCTAATGTACGCATCATCATCATCATCCAAGCCTTATCCCAACTATATGGTTCAGCTAGCTAATGTACACAGTGATGCTATTTTTCCTAGAAAACATTATTAAGTAACAAAGATAAACTTTTTACACCTTTTTATGTATACAATGTTAGAATTCAAAACATATGGACTATTTTAATACTTCATACTTTTTTGTAGATGTTCCCCATTAGTCCTTGTTTTTTGTCTTGTTGTCAAATTGTCAAAACTTAAGGACACATATCGGATTCTGATTCCTGTGCCCATGTTCATAGAACACTGTTTATAATGCATTACTTTTGGAATGGTCATGCATTATTCCTCCACCAAAGAAAAAGCAATGACAATAGTAGGATTCTTACAGAAAGAGAAAATCCAGACTGAAAAAATGGAGAGAAGAATTTAGATAATCCAAATATCCAATATGCCAATTGACAAGATAAGTGCATGTGCAACCATCCATTCTTCTTTGAGCATGCAGACATTTGAGTTTCTTCAACTCTTGGAATGAATTCAGTTGGCTCAGAGAGCCAGTAACGAAATATAAACATTGCAAAATGTAAACCTGCAACTCTTGCTTCTGACCTGGCTCACCAGAAGTGTTTATAACATTTGGTATTAATTCGTAGGTCCCTATCCTCATTTCCAAGTTGCCTGATTCTTTCTTATTTCGCTTGTGAGGCTGGCCCATGGGTGGACGATAACAAGGTCTTCATGAAGGGAACTGGAGATCTTTTTTGTTCCTTAGGACTTTGCCAGGTTGACATCATTTGTTTTTTGTGCACTAGTTAGTGCCAATAAGTTGAACTAGAAAACTTTCTAATGCTGTGGACCATACTGCATATCTATCCTTGGATTTGAACATTAGCCAACAGTTCCCAAGATCAAGATGATGCATTATCAAGAAAAAGTGTACATCATTATCACATAGTATGGAAGATGTCCTCCTTAGTACTCTTTAAATGACAACGTTGAATGGTTGATGATAAAGAAAATAATTGGACAAATAAAGTTGGATTATATAAATATTTTCTAGATCAGGTCATATGCATCTAAGTTCTTTCATACATTTTCTTAGTTGGCTGCAAGCCAATTGAACAATATATGATTTAGTAATATAAATATTTTTTATGGATAACAGAAACAATTTCATTAATATAAAAGAGTAGATATTACAAGAAATCAGTCGCCCCAAAGATTGAGATAACCAATACCCGTAAGTAAACAGCGAAAGAACTACCACCCTTATCCAAATTACAACGGACTAAAGACCCATCCCCCAAAAAAGATTTTTTCTCTCGACCCCTTGTTTGGTAACCCATCTGCAATTCCATTGGTAATAATGTAATATAAATTCTTCTAATGATAAAAAAGTAGAAATATTCTTTTAACAAGCTTGTGCTGTAGTCCAAGAGTCTGTATTTCCCATATTCTATTCACTTATACTATGCATTCCCTCTCCCTCATAGATTGCTTCCCAGGAGCATCCATAGTTTCTGGAACTACTACTAAATATCATTCACAAATGCTCATTTCCTTTTAGAATAGTGTACGGATTTTCCCGGTAGACTCTGAGCAAAACCCCCAGATTAAGATATTAATTTATTTTCATTGTTGTCTTCTAAGTTTAAAACACAAGAGGCCTGCAACTTTCTCCTTTATTTGTCAGAAAATAAAATAAAATTAGGAAATCAGCAGCTGCAGAAATGACTCTTTTCTTGTGTTGACTGTTGGTACAAACAGTAGTACAATGCTAAAAAGAATCCTACTACCTGAAAATATATGTAGTGTAGAATACAACGCCAAAAATTATATCTTATCCATTGCTCATGCAGAGAGCATTAAACTCTCTGATTTGACAGGATTATTCTCATATATCCTAGTAAGTGGGTAAAATATGAGGAAGTGGAAGTTAGTTCTTTGGCCAACTTTGATTTGTTAAGGTCAGTGTTTCAGAAAATAAGAATTCTTTTTTCTTTTCCTTCATTCCCTTTTTTTTGTCCTTTCTTTTCGGGGGGGGGGGGGGTTCAGAATTTTGGACCATAGGTAAAAAGGACTTCCTTACTCCAATAAGTTTTCTTTTTTATGAGTGACTAGCATTGGGATGGATTCAATATTATTGTTGGTTAAGCCAAGTTGGTTTCTGAATTTGGAATGGAAGAAGCTATTTCCATTAAGATCTAAAAATGAATCCTATGATGTTTATGTAATTATGCATCAATTTTTTGATTACAAGATTTATTTAACCTTCCTAGTTGAAGTCAGGTCGAAATATCAGCCTCAGTGACGGCTTCCGTATATTACTGTCCCTTCTAGTCTTTCTAACCTTTTATATCCATCTTTCCTTTTAAATATTGTTTGTTAGGGGAGAAGGAAATGTATAGAAATCTCAACAATAAATGTACAATGGCATTAAAATGCATTAGGACGGGGAATACAAAAATAACAGATTTTTTTATCATTAGAAGATAAAAGTGACAGATTATCAAGTGCATTTTGACTAGTTAGGTCCATCTATGCACATTTTCACTCAGAACTTGTATCTCTTTTGAGAACTCTCACTGTCTCACATAAGCTGCATATGTCTCTACCCAACAAAGAATGTCCATTCAATTTCTCTAAGACATATTAAATGAATTAATCTTTGTCCTTATCCTTCAGCAAAGTACTAATTCAAAACTGGAAAACCTTTACATGATAATTGACGAGGCAATATAAAGTATAACAACAAAGTGGCTAGTTGCATTTAGCAGACATGCCCTTACCATTTTTAAGAAACCTACTAAATTGCAGATCTTTGATACTGGGAGGTAAGAGGTCAACTTGTTCGATTAATCTCCATAACAGTATTAGTGAAATTAAGTACCTAAAAGGCCATATTGAATATGAGAAATCAATAAAATGCCAAAAAGTATCAAGGCATGAATGTATTCTGTAACTAAGCAAAACATACTACACATTAAACAATTTGAATACCAAGATACAACTTACTGAGAAATAACATGAGCGATGGCTGCACCACTGACACCCAAACGGAAAACAAATATAAGTATTGGGTCTAAGACGATATTTGTTACATCTCCCGCAACTAAATTGAATCCAAGAAAATGAAAAGCTAGAGTTAGATACAATGTATACTAAAAATGTAAAAAAAGGTCATATTTTAGCTTTCACAAAATTCAGGAAATCCACCTCAAATGCAGGCACATGCATCAGCATACACAAAAACACATGCAAGCAAGAAACTGCACCACTCTTACTAGAAATGTACAGGCACAGACAAGACATATTTTGTTATTAGCAAAAGGAAAGTGAATGTAATAATAGTTACCAGTAGCGTATAAGGGAGTTTTTGTATCCTTAAAACCTCGAAAAACCCCTTGCATGGCCAATGAGAGAAGAACTGCAGGAGCACCAAGCGACCTCAATGTCAAGTATTGTCGAGCTGGGTTTAGCATAGGGGAATCCTATTGAGACACAAATGCCCTGTTACCATTGTGTTTACCAACATTTTAATGAAAAAGACAACCAATCCAGATGATGTAAAATGCACATTCTGGTTAAAATTACTAGATCGTACCAATAATACACACACATTCTTGACTAAACAAAATTACAGAATCAGAATCCCTTTAACTTGTTTCAATAATCCAACATCCACAAGAAAATTAACCAAAAGAAAGAGCCATGAGAATTAAATGTGGTAATTGATAGTATACCATCTCTTTGGAACTTCATAGGTAAAGCTAATATCCCCATGGGCCATTTCATCAATGGATGTTGCACATATAGTTATAGAGTAAACTGTTTTTTCTCGTACCATACCTTTTGTACTTAGAACTCCCAAAATTTTAGTATCTTCCCTGTCAGTAAAAATATATAAGTGCTATGATACCCAGATAAGGATACTAACATGGCCACGGGTAGGGAAATGGAGATGGAACTCTGTATTTCCTAAAATTCTGTACATGGATAAAGGTACAGTTATCTCATAAATAAGATTATATCATGATTCTATGTTTAGTTTTGAAGCTAAGTGTCATTTCTCAAGACTTATGTCTTGCCAAATTTAATTAGATTTCAGAAAAATACAGATTTTTATAGTGTGATTTGTAAATTCTGTACATGGATAAAGGTACAGTTATCTCATAAATAAGATTATATCATGATTCTATGTTTAGTTTTGAAGCTAAGTGTCATTTCTCAAGACTTATGTCTTGCCAAATTTAATTAGATTTCAGAAAAATACAGATTTTTATAGTGTGATTTGTTAACATTTTTTTTTGAAAATTTGTGAATTGTTAACATATGGTGCCAATAATTTAACAATGGATATGGCATTAAACAGAATGGACTGGTGAAACAGGATCTGTAGCCAACCCCATATAGTTGGGATAAGGCTTCAATGATGATGATGATTTGTTAACATGTCATTTATATATTTTTGAATTGTTAATGGTACTGAGTATATTTAGAAGTGTCCATGCAACATCCAGTGTCATATGAGGCTCCTGCCATGTCCAAGACCGGTACATTAAGCCTGTACAAGTATCTGATATCACAGTATAAATGGTCTGCCTTAGTAAATGATATATTTTATCAAAAATACATAAGTTGTACATTTTAATAAATGGTACATTTTACCCAACATTTTGATAAAAACTTCAGACATTAAAATGTTCACTGAAATTTTGTGAATTATTGAATAAAATACTTGGTTTAAAAACTAAGGTTGTACATGGATTATGGTGGAAAAGGAAAGTGAATCCACTACACTACTTTCCAGAATCTGTGCTTTGGATCCAAAAATAAAGCATTGTTGATTCCAGAAAGGAGTAGAGTTCCATACTCTTGGGGGCTAGTCATTCTAACCCCCCCCCCCCCCCCCCCCCCCCCCCCCCGCCCCCCCAATCCTGAGGGAATTTACACTTCTGTCCCACTTTTCACAGGGATAGCAAGCATGCTACTGGCATATTGTATGGCAGCTATCATTTGAATTTCTGAGAATGAAGAACTCTAACATGTTTCCCATAACATTTGTCACATCTGTAAGGTATATCAATTATTGGCTATCAGTAGGCATGTCAATGACTGTAGCTTCAATGGCACGATTAGTCTGGCATCCCTACAATCTCCTATCTATAGTAGATAATCCAGGGCCAGCTTTGAGTGACAAAATTCTATTAAAATGGAACTCTATATTGCTTGATCAAACAGGGCAATGAGGTCTAATATCCTACTTCCAAACTACTGAACTATGTGGGAACAAATGAAAAGCAACAAATTGTATTCTATGGTTATGTTTATCACATAGGTTCAGAATTAGATAGCTGAAGAAAGTTTGATTTGAACAGGAACACATTAAGTGCCCTGATCTTCCATGCACCTAACTTACAATATGTTCCTGAGATCAATATCTTGTCTAGCATGAGTCCTCTCTAGAGCTTCACTCAATTCAAATGGAGTTAACTTTGGCTGTTGGCCCCTAACAGCTTATGCTGTTGAGAGTGTTTTTAGGCTGGGCACGTTCACCAATTCAAGCCCATGTCTATGATTATGGTTAAAAAGAAATAGGGTGCAATTACTATTTTACCCCACTCTATGGTAACGTGGCATTCCCAAAAATGTTCTCAACAGCAGAGGCCAACAGCCAAAGTTTTTCCATTTAAATGGTTCCTTCAAGAGTTTTCAATTGTGAACCAACAAGGAACACAACCCATATATCACCAGAATAGCAAAGATACATTCATGCTACTTTGCAGCCAGCATCCCCCACAATAAGGTATTCTCTTGCATCTTTCTTTTGATCAATAAGGTATTCTCTTGCATCCAAACTGCTTCATTAGACATTTCTTATTTTTGATAAAAAGGGGAAAGGAGCTGCAGGTCTTACAGATTTGATGCCTTCATGCTCAATTTTCCAGTATCAATATCCTGAGATGGCATAGCCCAAACCCTTCCTTACAGATTCTTTTTTTGGTAACAAATTAAAATTTATTGAGAAAAAAAAAGAAGATACAAGGAAGGTGACCAGCAGTAAACCCCTCCTTACAGGTTCCTTTGTACCCTTTGTTTTAGAAAGAAAAATTGGAAGGAAAGGTGAGCTCAAGCGAACCTATCATCCATAATTAGGATTCAAGATCAGGTAGGATCCCAATTCCACCAAAACATTAATCTTATTGTTAAAGTTGACAGATAACCATGACCTAAGAGCATGGATTAATAGTAAATGTTTGTTCAAGTACAGCACAGTGTTTTAAAATGCAGAGGCGTGACGCAAGGCGTTCCACTACCCAGAGGCGTGAGGCGTAAGCCTCCCGAATACAATTAAGAGGAGGATGAAAAGGAAGGGGGGATCTCATTTTTTCTTTATTTTTAATAAAAATCTTTTATATTAAGAAGAATAAAGATGCATAACAGTAGTTCAAAGGGGGGGTCTTGTCAAAGGGGGCCTCTTGCACCTGATGCGTACGCCTAAGAAGTGTCAGCGCCTCTGGCATATGCCTCAGGGCATTTTGGGAGCGCCTCCAGGCGTATGCCTCCCACGCCTTTTAAAACACTGGCACAGCATTAGTATAAATATCACAAGAACTTCAATATATCAAATAATTTACTCAGGAAACAAAGAGAAAAATTAAATAATGAAGTAAGTTTAACCAAATGGTCTTAATAAAGATACTTACAGAATTTACACCCATGAAATTCAAGAGAGGTTTTGCTCCAGAAATTAGGAATATGGCTTGGAGAAGACCAAGTATCCCCCCAATAACCAATGCAGATGACGCTGATGGAATATGTCTCTTCCCATTCTCACACTTGGACATATTTGAATTATCAGCACTTCTGGATGGCGACTGGTGTACAGTTCTATTAGAATCTGATAAAGAGATTATCAGGGAATTCAAAATATTTTAGTTTCTCAAATGATTGAGCTTTTTAGGAAGCAAAATACCAAACAGAACTCTATTGTGTTGAAATGCGTTTTTCTAAAGCAATTCATACAGTCCCTGAATCAACAAAATAACATACCAGAATGTTGAATCAACTCTTTCATCTCGCTCTGTATAGCTAAACCCTTTTCCACATTTTCACCTTCTACTTCTTCAATGCTTACTCTTCCAATAGTATCTTCCTCCGCAACAAAAGAAGTTGTGACACTAACAAGTGGGAATATTGCAATCCTTGATACTTGATTAAACAGAGCAATAGAAACTCCCACAGCAGCAAGTTCCACTGGACCTAGAATTTACAAGTCAGAACAGAAAAGTCAAAATATGTAACACTTCATAGCTCAATGGCCAATATTTACTCTTTCTTTTTGATAAGTAAAAGAAAAAATTCATTAAAAAAAATCATGTGATTAAGAATATATTCATGATTGTTTAGCATAGGATTTCTTAAACCGACTTCATAATAGATGGTGACAAGGCATGTGATTAAGAATATATTCAATTATTCAGTCAATCAAATAAAGGTTGACCATAGAATTTTTTTTGCATTGAATCTAGGGTGTGGTCTAGCACAGAAATTACAGGCATAGTGCAAAATTTAAAGAAACCCTTGAGAAGTTGTATTCCCAAGAAGTTGCTATATTGTTGTCATGTTTTTCATGAGAGAAGCCATCCTCAAGCAGGCAGAGATGGGACTGTTCCACAGTGCAGGTGCACACCATAAAACTATCATCAAAATCCTGTATGGGCTGTATTTGGACAGGTACATGTCCACCTTAAGTTGCTATATTGTTGTCATGTTTTTCATGAGAGAAGCCATCCTCAAGCAGGCAGAGATGGGACTGTTCCACAGTGCAGGTGCACACCATAAAACCATCATCAAAATCCTGTATGGGTTGTATTTGGACAGGTACAAGTCCACCTTAAAATGCCTTCTAACCTAGATGAAGAAAACTGCAAGAAAAAAATTGGCCTCTTTATTCACATGGATGTAACAAAGCCTACATTGCCACATTCAGAGACATATGTACACTATCTAATCATACATGGCATAAATTGTTTTTAGCTTGTAATCTGCCAAGATATAAGAGTTCCCGGACATGGGTGAAACCACAATCACTGCCATTGAGTAATTTTCATGTTGAGAAATGAGTTTAGCCATGACCAAGGGCATCTAATTTTGTTCTCAGTGAGGGACAAACTTTAAAATATGCTCTTAAAAACTCAAACATTTGCAAAATTCCCTATTGTTTTTTCCTAGTTGCTTTATAGCTACCAAGATATTCCAATCTATTTACTTATAAAAACACATGAGAAATTCAGATTCAATAATGGGAAATATAATATAGATAAAGGCAGCTTTGATCTATCTATCTATCTATCTATCTATCTATCTATCTATCTATATATATATATATATATATATATATATTCAAAAAATGACTTTTGCCTAAAATGAGGAATAGATTCCTCAGTCTACCCTGTACTTTTTCCAGCAAGATGGACAATTAAGTCAATTAAGCATTAAACAGCATACCGCAGAATAAACTAGTACCAGACAGCAGGAATGTTGCCATATAATCTTTACATGTGTGGAAATCAAATAGTTGTTTCCATTTGCCAGAAAAGAAAGACATGCCATACAGATAAAGATAGAAAACATAAAGAAAATACCTATTTGGCCAATGAATGCTGTGTCAATTAGAGAAGCAATGGGGTCAGCTGTTAAAGCCAGTGCTGCAGGAAATGCAATCTGTGCTATCTCCAAACCAAGTTCATCCAATGCAAAGGCATACCTGGCCATATGATTAAGGAATGTAATGGCAGCCCTTGTAAACATTTATTTAGAAAGAAACTGTTTCATTTTCTTCCTTAGCAATAGCGAAGAACATGGAGAGTCCTTGTTAAACATGAAACAATGTAAGTGCAACTGAATGAAATGGTACCTTGAATTCATGAAGAAAATGCCAAGAGGCAATTTTCTCTTTTTTCCAGATGGATAGGAATCAGAATCCAGGGCCATGAAATGGAACCACAAATTCACGTGAATGTGCAACTGACCACTCTCACATGCAAGTCTTCCACAAGCAGCAACCTCAATCAAGTTTTTTATGCCAAATTGGAAGCTCAAAACAACAAAAGACAAGCATCACAATATGCAGATTCCACAATCACCTGGATCATAGCCAATTGATCGATCAATCAGAAATCTAAATTCCAAATACCCAATTTCAATAACCATGGTAACCAATACAAATTTAAGTGTTAAATTTAAGAAAATAATCAAATTCTCGCAAAGAGATCAAAGAAAACTCACATTCCTTAAGTAGGGAATTAAATTTGTATGACAAAACAAGTGTTGCTTAACAACCAAGTTTTTGGAGCACGGTTAAACAATGAAAAGAAAAAAACTTCCATGAGAGACTGCATAAACCTTCCTCAGTTCACCAATCATCAAATACTCAAGGTTGTAGTTGTTAGACATTAGTTTGTAACTAGTAATATGGTATGTGAAGAGTCAATCAGAGAGAAACAGAAAGTTGAGGGAAAGCACTAAAGAATTTTGTGAAATTCCTTAAGAACCTCCCTTCAATTTTCTGTTTCTCTCTTATTTACTACCAAAGCAAACACCGTGCCCAATGAGAGTATCAGGGAGTCCATGACTTTATTAGCTAGCAATAAATTGTGCCATAAATATGGTACTTCATTTGGTGGAGTCCGGATGAGCTGCACTTGATAGCTGTGTTAGGGGCTGTTTAAGTGTTTAAGCAATAATAACGTCCCATGACAGCCATCAAGTGTGTATGCCCCATAACCACTCCAATCTCTCACTTTGTGTGCATGGCTGACATGGGGCATTCTTATTGATTAAACAGAGCTCCTAACATAACTATTAAGTGCAGCTCATCCAGTCTCAATTTGGTGCCCTTTTGAGAACACACAGCGGCGTCTGGCTTAAGGCAGGTCCCACACAGAAAGCCTAGAAGCCATGTTTGGTGAAAAGCCCAGAAAGCCCCAATATGTTTTCATTCAGCAAAGAACACAACTTTTTGGTGAAGCTAGTTTTAGTAGCTTCTTCAAAGCGGCTCAATCAAAACTGAAGCCCCAAACGGCCCATAAACACAACTCAAATTTTCTCGTGTATTTGCAGCCTTTTTTTTTCCTACTATTGTGATCAGGTGTATCTCAGCCAATTTACTTCCACTGCCCTAATAGTAGCCTGTAAATCATGGTTTAGACAAACTCAAACCTGTAACTTCTTGGGATGGAGAGACCCATTGAGATACAGAGGGGGTCGAAAGGAGGGGAGGAAGTTAACGCTCTTTTGCTTTCGTGGATTTCCCAAGATGGTAGCACACTTGGAATTCCTTGGGCCTTACTTTTGGCTGAGGAGTTGAGATATACTAAAGACAACTGCCTCAAAAGGCAGTAACGATGAGCATGCAAGGAAGAACAAGCATTAAAACCAGAAACAGAAACACAGCGAAAGGAATAGCCAAATGTTAACCACTACTCAATCTACTTTTACACGTAAACAAAAGAAACCGTCTGTTTAACTACGAGTAGAAAAGTAAAACCATTAAACCCGAATTTCGATTTTAGCTACTTACAAAGGATCAGTGAAGAAGAAAAAAACATATTCACAGATGAAACTGTCCAGGGAATTCCAAGGCAAGATGGAATTCTGTTTTTGATTAAACAATTTACCTACTTCCTCCTACATTTAGTGGCCAGGAACGAGGAAAACGTCAGAAACTATCATTGACATTGACTGAATCCCATTTCAACAAACCATGGAAGTCGGACTTGCGCTTCCCTTGTTAGAGACGCCTAACATCTGAACTGTAACGTGACTCCACACCTAAATTGTAACGTCACTCCATTCCAAGTCACTGTGAAGCTGAAAACGATAAAAGCTGTCACCCGAGCTTGAAAATGCCTTTGACGGATTATTATTTCTCGAGAAAAGAAGCCAATATGCCCGTAGTATCGATGACTTCATCAACTAATGAGTGATTCGGAACAGATTTCACATTCCATTGTTAATCATCGGGAATCTGGTTCCACAGTTCTGACTTTTCTTTTTCTCTTTTTCCTTTTTTTCCTTTCCCCCAGGTTTTCTGGAAGGATTGACTGTGTAACCCACCGAAAATTAACCAAAATCTGACAAGAGCAAATACGCAACAAATTGAGGTTCATTTCACCATGAACTTTTCTTCCTTGAGTGATCTTTCGAGGAAATTTTGCTGTAATTGCGGTAAGAGGTCATTAAAACTGCTTTCTATTTTCAGGAAACACCATCGATTATCCATACTACCATTTCCGAGGGGACACAACAACACAATCGGAAGTCCCCGGAAAGGTCTGAAAAGTGTATACAGATACCAAGTTTCATTCCTCTATTAATTGTTTTTCTTCACTGCTCTTCGGTTATCTGCCTCCTCACCATCATTCTCGTTTCAAAGCAAGACTGAACCACGAGGTCCAGGATTTTCCCGGGAATCAAGAATGCCGATTCCCTCTTTTTTTCCAACAAAAACTGCTGTTCAAGTACCGGAAAAACCTAATTCAAAGCATACTTCAAGCAGAAATCTATGCGAAGTTGATGGACAGACAGACCAGAGATCAGAGATCTGAAGCCAATAATCGGACCGTGGTTTGGAGCTTCAACGGACCGATACGAAACCGAATCTCTTCCGGGTCACGAGTCAAACCGCTGATCGCAGAAAATTCGCTGGGTCAGTGAAATCTGAATGGTTTTCAACGGTTTCCATTGGGCTTTGATGGATTTATCCGTTTTTCAGAAATTGGAAAATGTCGAGTATCAAAAAACTGGAATTATTAGGTTTTACGGTCGGACTGTATAATCCGGTTTTCATTAAACCGAAATTGGCTACGAATCATTAGAGTTAGGGGTGCAAGTGGGCCAGGTTAGGTTGGGTTGAAGTCAACCCTAACTCAACCCGAGACTATGAACCAACCCTAACCCTAACCCAATCCAATCTTCTCCCATCCTTCTAAAAATCTCTCGAATTATCTTACTATTTGATTAAGAGATCTAAACTTATATATGCTTTTTTTTTATTTTGTATTTGCTTTTGATGTTTTTATTGATTCTTTTAATGAAAAAAATTAAAAAAAAAATGTTTTGGACGATTAGAGTTACTGGGAATCATAAAATCATCTATAATGAAAATTTATAGTAGTATGCGATGGGACTATAATATATAGGGAAAATTTATAATACCGGAAAATATAATACTTGAAATTCGGAATGGCTTTGACCAATCATAGTCCCATGTGAATTTTGATAAAAATCAATCTGATTGGTTATCACTTTTATAATGCTGGTTGGTTGGTTGTAAGTTTCCCCGGTATCATGTCTTCTGGCATCATAATTGAACCCTTATATATATGTACAATAGCAATGGTAAAGTCAAGTTCAGGTTGAGTTGGGTTGCTGTTCGAGTTAGCAAAACTCGAATCTAATTCTAACCCGAGAATCAACTCAACCCAAGTTAGGATTGGATTTGGGCTAACCCGGCCCAACCTAGAATCAGAATTAGCGGGATCCGCAAATCTCAAAACGAGGGAAATCATACATTTGACAGTCTGGAAATGTTTCTTGTTCAAAACTTTTGGACCGGGTCGTGCCTAACCTCGAAGTTCGAGATCATATTCCCGGTCCACGGGCGGGATCACGTGAACGTGAACGTGAAGCGAGCAAATGCGGGCCGTATGGGCTGGGCCTGTGAGAGAAAGCCTGGAGCTCGCATTTAGGGCCATAAATTTGCCATTTGATATTAAGATTGGACCCACCATCCAAAAATTTGATTGCAGATTGTATTGATTCTATAAAATAGGATCTGGGGGTGGAGAATATTTGTGATTTCGTGTGGATCCTAATTAGGTGGGGGCCCATAATTTATACTTTTATTGATATACAAAAAATAGAAAAGAAACCCTTGACTGATGGGAGTGGAATGGTGAACAAAAGTTAGGCAGTGGAACCCCAAATAATTGGAAATTTAGAATTGGAATAAGAACAACTGGTCTCAAACAAAAGAGATTGGTTGATTGGTGGAAAATGAGAGGTTGATTGCAATCAGATGTGACTTGGGCGGTTGATTCTAACCAGTAACCATTGCTGGTTAATCACCACCTTTAGTTCTGCTTTGGAGGTTTCTAGAACAGTTTTATGAAGCTAAAGGTCAGCAATCAAATGGGTTTAATTCCTTCCATCTCTGTTAATAAAAAATATTATTTTTATGGTGAAAAAAGGAAGGGTCCAATTCAAGAAAAAACAACGAAACATGAAAAGTAGACGGGGAAGGCCCGGAAGGGCCCATTAGTGGAATAAGATATCACTAGAGGGGGCCCACCTTTTCAACAGTCTTAGGCAATGGACCAAGTGTCAAGTGTGTGGCTTGGCTCTCATCCACGACACCCAAAAGGGGCACTGCTTAACCATGTCTGGTTGCAGGGGAGATACTGAAATTATAAAGAAGCAAAAGAAGCCAATGGTTGTTTTAAGAAAAGGGAAAGAAGAAAGAGTGAAGGAAAAAGGAAAAGGGGGTTGGTGGGTTGGTGCTTCCAGCCCAGCTCGGCCCACTCCACCCAATCTTTGAATGGCATCAAATATGATAATATGCCAAGATCTTTAGAATCAAAGGATTAATTCCTCTACTATGTGTGGTTTCAAAAAATTCCCTCACTGCAATTTATTAAATTTTCAATCAAGAATTATTGACTGAAATTACAATTACTCCTCTTCCTCCTGTCTCTGGCATCATGGCATCATTCAGTGTTGAATGAAAACCTTGCAGAGTTATAATTGAGATGTTGTTATGATGATGCAAATGATTCTATTCCCGTATAGATTCCACAGTAATGGCCACTACTGTTGTCATAAAGATGGTTATATTCTTTGGATGAATAATGGGTGACACAGAATGACAGAATAAGAGAGAGAGAGAGAGGTCTTCCACTGTGAAAAGCAAATAAACTTAAGCAGATGAAAGTAAGTGATTGTCCTCAAATGGATCAAAATTTCCAAATATGGTTGTGTATTTGGGGTTCTTCTTTTGGGATCTCACATGTAATAATATAATGTAGAAGAAACTATTGATCAGGGAATCAAGCTCAACATCATGGAGCTATCTCCACAAGTGTCTGGTTTCTCATTCATGTGCACATCTCTCTCTCTCTCTCTCTGTTATCTATCTATCTCTCAAACTTTGGCAACTTAGAAGGTAAAATACAGAAACCAGAAGAACCCACTAGAAGAACTGCAATCAAACACAGAAAACTAATGAAAAAGAGAAGATGGTATAATACCTCTTAGTTCCTCCTGAGAATGTGTGAGCTAGAGGTTCGTCTCAGTCCCACTGCAGCTTCCTTCCCCTCTTCCTCATAAATCATAAGCCCAATTTTACCCTGTACTCAATAACTTCAGGTGGTGGTGATGCTGCTTCCTTTGTCACATCCCCAAACCCCCATTCGTCCATAAATAGCTGAAAAAAAATCCACCACCATCTTAGCCACCATTGCTTTTTCTAGTTTCTTTTATCCAATTTCTATTGAACAGCCAATAGCACTGCACTATTAGCAGTTCTGGTGCAGTTATGGACCACGTAGGATTCCTAATTAAGCTGTAGTAGGCAGTAGCTTAGTGGTCCAAATTCCAAAATGTATTGCATGGAACCCACCTAACCCAGATTCATACCCGCTTTTTACATATTATTTTAAGTATTAGGGTTTCAACTTTCAACTAGCATGGTTAGGTCATGCTAGGTCTAGGTTGAGTCACAAAGTTGTGAAAAAAAAATAGTTTGTTTTATTAGGTGATGGTAAATCTGGCTTGACCGGATGTTAGGGTCGGGTATGTTCAGCTTTTGATTCTTTAACCTGAATTTGGGTTCGGGTTTTGGCTGGCCCAACTCATACGGTCATGATATGCTGCATATATGATATATATAGGGTATTTTTGTAATTTTGTAATTTTTAATTTGATTTTTTCTTTTTCTAATGTAAAAAAAGTAACACCTTTAAGAACCTATAACACAGATTCCGACTTAATTAATGGCTTTTAGGTTTTCAAAATGTATTATAAAAAATATAATTGAAAGGCTGTGAATTGGGTTGGTATTAGGTTGAACCTTACATGATTGAGTCGGTTCAGGTTCAGGTTCAGGTGAGGACATTTGAATGTTAGGTTAGGATTGAGGCAAACCGATGCCAAACCCGGCTTTTTTGACATCCCTATTAGCTATAAATGGAAGGCAAGCCTGATTTACATTTTCTAGTTTCAACTAGACTTTTTATCAAGGTAGTATCATTTTTTTTTTTTTATCTTCAAGTTAGAAATGGAAAACTCGTCCAGTTGTCTGTATCAAGATATTTGTTTGATATTCAAAATTTGATATAGTTCTTTAAAACGTTATTCATTCTTTATTCTAACAAGTAACAAACTTCAAATTGAAATTTCTTTTTTTTTTTTCTTTCTTTTTGTTTACTCATCTGTTAAATCATCCATTCTAGACCGAGTATTAATGTGTTTGTAGATGGAAAGAAGGTTGTTTTTCTCTTAAAATGGAAAATAGAGATTTACTGTGAGAAGTCTTAAATATTTCTTTTTATTTTAGATTTTTTAATTTATGCCAATAGTGAAGAATAAAAAAATTATCATCCAATTTATAGCAATTATGATCTAATGACTAATAAAATCTCTGTTTATAGTTAGTTACACTATGATTATTAATTATTAAAATGATTAATGCTTTGGTCTCTTGATGAGAATTAATATTTATATGGAAATTGAAGGTTTCTTTTTTTTTCTGTATTTGGAATGTGGGCTTTCTATAATCTACTTTTCCCTTATTGCTCAGTTTGGAGGGAGTACGAATACAAATGTGTAAAGTGCAACCTTGCATTTTGTAGTATTTTGTGTCTTTACACTGTACATATTTGTATTTGTACTCTTTCCAAACTGAGGAAGGAGTGCAAATGCAAATATGTAAAGGGCAAAATCTTGTATTTTATATTATTTTGTTTGTATTTGTATTATACATATTTGCATTTGCATTCCTTCCAAACTAAGCCTATGGGATTACATTAGAAAATAAAAAATTAGACCTCACCTAACAATTTAAGTTTTTAAGTAATGGTTCCTTGACATGAAACCAGATCCTCTTTGACCATGCGATTTAGTGTTCAATTCTCATTGCCTCTATTATAATTAATTAAATTTCGGTAAAAATTAAGCTTGGCTCGATAGTTCAGCTATATTTATGCAGGTCTGGGTTGACAAGGAATCCTTTTCATGGTATTATGCTCTTTAATTTGGTTTTTAAAAGGGGAGGCCTTGTCTAGGAATGGAAATAGGGTGGGCTCGGGGTGGGGGCCATATTCCCCATCCTCGACCTTGATTTTGTAAGAAATCCCCGTCCTTGACTTTGATCCTTGCCGAGGATAAAAATGATCCTCCATCCCCGATCCTTAATGGAGATGGGTTCCCCATCAGTAACCTGAATCCCCAAAATGTTTAAATTAAAATTATTTTTAAAAATAGATTTACTTAAAAATAAAAGAATTTTTTAAAACATAAAATATTTTAAATATTTTTTTATATAAATAATATCATATATATATATATATTTAATAAATAATACATTTTTAACATATATAATTAGGGTCGGGGTGGGGCAAGGAATTCACCCCCATCCCTGATTGGGTATCACTATCAATCCCCGTCCTATCTCTGTCCTCGCCAAAGTATCCGACTGGAACGGGGAAAATTACCATATGTAACCTTGCCCCCCAACTGCTACCATGTAAGCTTTGGGCCAAGAATAGGGATTATACCTTGATATAGTTTATCTTCTCCTAAACCCTTGTTGTCAAGGCTTTGGGGTTTGGTTTTCGGTTCCGTGTTATGTTTTAAGAGCCTTGCTTGTTGAGGTTGATCTCTGTTGGAGGCAGTTGGACCTCCTCCCTGGCATTTTAAATATCTTACGCCATTTGTAGAGGCCCTACAAGCTTTAGTGTGGAAGGAGTACAAATAAATATGTACAGTGCAAATACATACAAAATAGAAGGTTTTATATATTTGCATTTGTAATCCTTCCAAACAGAGCCTTAGTGTTACTTCATTTCTTTTTGCTGTTGAGATTTATGAATGAACTTTGCCTTCTCAGGCTTAGAAAAATAGAGTTTATTTTTTTGAACATGTGGTTGGTATTTAATAAAACTCGTTCCTCACCTACTACTCCTTAGGTCCCATCGAATAGAAAGTTAGAAACCCATCGGCCAAAAGCTCCCCTTCTTGTGAGTGGCCACTTACTTTATACATAAAGCAAGTCATTCTTTTCCTATTTTACTAGTAATTAAGTACATGTGTTGTAGGTGATAAATTAATTACTTGAATTTTAGATATATCATAGTTAAGATAAAAATTGAAAATTAAAAAACGTAACAATATGATTAAAAATAAACATAAATATTTATTATTCAATTATGACATCTTGCGTTTTTTTTTTAAAAGTTGGATCATTGACCCACCATCTGGATAAAAAAAATAGCATTGCTTTTGGATTAGTTTTAAATTAGGGAAAATTATAATCAGAGTTGGTTGTACATTTAAAATTTGGATACAAATTGGCCCATAAACCAACAAAACTCTAACAAATGACTCTACATTTCAAGTTATAAAAATCCTTGCCATGTCATCGGAGGGTTATATGGTTATTGCCAACATGAGACTCTTAATCCATATTGGACACAATAAAAAGCTTATACTTAATTGCCCTTTAATGTTGGGTGATTGGAAAATAAAAAAGGGCTTTTAGTGTTTATCTCTCTCTCTCTCTCTCTCTCACACACACACACACACACTCACTCACTCACTCTTTCACTCACACTCATCTTTATTTGCTCAATGACTATGCGATTTGAAAATAAATAAAAATGGTTTTTGGTTTCTGCATTTACGTTCTCTATATCAATTTCTCTCATTCACTCTTTCTACCTATCGTTCTCCCTCAATCTCTTTCTCGGTCGATCTCTCATTCTCCCTTAATTTCTATCGTTCTCCCTCAGTTTCTCTCCCTCTCCCTCTCCCTCTCTCATTTTTTTTATTTTTTTATTTTATTGTTTTCTTATTTTTTTACACACTTATATGGTATTAATCAGATCGTATAAAAGAACATGAGACCAACTTGGTATGGCTCAAAAATTATTACACTAAATTGATAAAATTCACAAGAAACTCTTGGCTATGAAATTTACACCAATTGGAGAATGATAGAGATTAAGGGAGAATGAGATTTTGATCGAGAGGGAGAAGAATGAGAAAGATTGAGAAAGAAAAATAGAGAGAGAGAGGTTTTGATTTGGCTACAAACCGAAGCAGAGAGAGTGGGGGAGATAGAGGGAGCGGGAGATCGAGAGATGACTGTGAGAGTAAGAAAGAAGGGAAGGAAATCAAGAGACATAGGGAGTGGGAGAGAAACTGAAAACCTATTTTTGATATATGTTTTCTGTTGTGTCCAACATGGAATAAGAGTCCCATGTTGGCAAGCGCCACATAAGCCTCTGATGACATGGCGAGGGTTTTTATAATTTGAAATGTAGAGCCGGTTTTCAAAGTTTGTTTGGTTTTTGGACCAACCTACAACCTAATTTTAAATGTACAACCGACTTTGACTATAATTTTCCCTTTAAATTATATATTTCATTTACATTATATAAAATATTTTTTACTTATCACACTTAATTTTTGTTTGTCTTTAATATCATTTTACTCAAACCACTAACCCACCATCTAAAAATAAAAATTGTTTGATTTCTAGGTTGACATTAAATTTTGTATTACATTTCCATCATTGATAAAATTATTTCTTTTTTATAAAACTTATTTTTGTTCAATATAATGAATGTAAAATATTAGAGATGTACTCAATATTTTATTTTTTATAAATATATAACATTAGATATGTGCCCAAAATTTTCTCTTATCTTTTTTTTTCTGATTCTTTGTATTTTCTATTATTAAAAAACTTATTATTTGACTATGGCATCATTTAATTTCTATGTAGATTTTGAAATTGGCTTTCCATTTTCATCATTAATAAAAATACTTCTTAGATTTTATAGTTATTTATTTTAATTTTTTATTGTTTAATTATGTCATTATTTATTAATCCATTTGACCCTAAATGGTCAAATTGCTTGACCACCACCGGGAGGGAAGAAAATGGTTTTGTTTTCAAATTACTTTTCAAAATATTTATTTTTATACTATTAAAATTAATATTGTGGATTTAATTACAAGAATTTAATGATGAGAAAAATATATTTTAAATATAGGATTTAATGAGAGAGAATAGGAAAATATTTTTATTTCCATTTGGTTTTAAATTTTACATTCCATTTTCATCATTAATGAAAACATTTCTTTTTTGATACTTATTATTGTTTAGTATGTATGTTAAAAATGTTCCCAATTTTTTTAATTTCTACTTTTTTATTTTATTTATTTTTTAATTTTATTATTTAATCGTGGCAGCTTTGATTAACCCATTTGACCCAAAATGATGAGAAGAAATAGATTTTATGTTATTGGAATTATTAATTTATTAAGAATATATTTAATTAATAAAACTTAGTGATGAGAAGAAATAAAAATGACTTAAGTATATGATTCGATGAACATGAATGCAAGTAAATAACTTAAATGTTGAATTTAATGAGAGGGGATTGAATGCATTGAATATCTATGAATTACCTCTTTTCAACTCATTTAATATCAAGAACCAATTACCCTATTTGCCCTCATTTTTTATCATTAAATTTAAATATAGAGGGGTAAATATTATCCTTAGAAAATTTTAGAAATATTCTTGAGGCTATTTGTACTTTTTAAAGTAGTATAGATTATATAGAAAACATGCATTTATTAATTCTATCTTGAGGGTGATTTCTGCACATCCCATGTTAGACAAAGCAGGTAAACCCCTAAATATTGGTAAAAAAAGTTAATTATTTGAAAATTACATTTCTCACTAGGGTTCTGCCTTGCTTAAAAAATGTGATGTGCCTAAATCAATCTATTTTGTTTTATTTTCTTTTTTTCTTACCTCTAGGCTTGGAATACACTTGGGTAGATGCTTAAGAGTTTGATTCATGGCCCGCCAGTCTTTATAGGCCAATGTCCAATCCAAATTTTGTAAGCTGTAACACTGCTCTAGAACTGATAATAAGAAAATAATGAAGTTTTCCAGCATAAATCATGGGGACATCTATATTGTTCAATGCAATCACCATCTCAAAATAGTCATACTTGATAATAAGAAACAGATTAGCACTTTGTTTCAAATTCTAAATCCTAAGGTTATGTTTGGTTTGAAGGAAAAGGTAAGGAAAGGAAGGGAAAGGATAAGAAATCTATACAAGATTTGTAAAGGTTTCCTTACCTTTCCCTACTTTTCCTTCAAACCAAACATAGCCTAAGTGAGTTGTTTCTTTGTTGGGTAACTAACATGTTCGTAGATTCTTAGGGGGTATTTGCCTATATGTTTGATTTTGCGACTGCAAATCTTCTAGAAACAAGTCATGGAAATCAAGAGAAATATGAGATCACATTTCCTGTCATTGTGGTTGCAGGACAATCCCAAAAGGCGAAAATCCTCAATAAAATGTGAACACACCTTTGAAGAAGAAACAAAACATCACATTAACTAGTTTTTAGTTTAGGGATAACTACGCTGCACTCCACCTCAGAATTGTAAGCTCCACTGCAGACCTACAATAATTCAAAATTTCAAACACCTCTACTTCTAACATCAATACCAACCCGTGTATTAGCATCAATTCCAAGCTGGCATCACATTTCATTGGAGATCGAATGCGACCTTAACAGCCCTAGAAATACTAATGAAAAGTTAAACATCTTAGTGATGCATACTGTTGTAATGCACCGCCACTAATGATGTATTTTCACATTCCGGGGCCCCAAAATTTTTCATGTAGCATTCAGTTTTCATTAATCTTTGGTTCTAAAGTGAAGTTACAAGGTCAGAAGTCAATATTGCTCACACGTTGAGATCTCAAAATCGAATCTATTATGGTTGTAAAGAAGAAAGAATCTTCAAGAGATGATTTGAAATTGAATATTGTGATCAACGTGTGATGAGATAGTTCGTAGAAAGGAATTGAAGCATTTGTTTTGTTTCTCTCAACTTACGAATAAAGAACTAATAAGAAGTTGAAGATGAAGATATCTTTGCTATTTGGTCAGTTATGCTCTTACTGTGGGTCTGTAGCTATGATGTATTAACATTTTCATCATTAGTCGATTCAGTATCTTGAATATGATTAGTGCAAAGAAAATAAGGGTTATAGAATATTGAAATGATGCTACAGGTGGGTGGAGGAAAGATGATTTTTTTTTTTTTTTTAACTTTTGATGTGGTGAATAAGAAAGAAATAAAGAATCATTTATCATAATCTATTGATCTTTATGGTCTATCCTTATCAGGACAAATGGAAACCTGTGTAGGTTCCATTTTATCATGTCTAGATGAGAGTCCATTATATATGGTCTTTATGCTCTATCTTTATTTTTGTTTTCTTGTTTCAACCACAACGAAAACAAAAGCTGATTTTGACATCTTTTGAGGAGCTGGGTAATGTTGTCCCATCTTATCAACCCAGAGAAGGTGGCGGGTCAGAGACAGCAGATAGCTACCTATCTGCTTTCTGCTCATCAGATGGATGTATGCATGGTTAGCAGAGGCTAGGATGGAGTTAATTGGTCACTGCCGACAATTGGAGGGGTCTCAGTTATCTCGGATAAGAGTCTAATTTTTGACATTTTGGTGACTTCTCTCAAGACCCCAACCTGCATTCTCAGGTTTTATCAGCCTGAGATTTTATTGTTGAACCAAGCAATGCTCCTGATTTTTATTGCTTTTTCCATGTTCTGTTCCAGGGAAGAGAAATTCATACTTCATGGAACACAGACCAGAAACAATATGAAATTCTGTGAGCAATGGCGTGAACTTAAGCAACAAATCGTTTAAACCATGCCATTTATGCAGATTTGAGAATAGTTCAGGGCTTTTCTTGGGAAACAGATGGCCATTTGAATGATGATGAGTCTTCATAGAAAGGGAGAAAAATTGTAGAGGCCTCAAATAGCCAGTAGTCGTGATGATCCAGCAATTGCACATCATAACTTCCTGATAAAAAAAGGAAAAAAAAAATGTCTCCAACATCGAACAGAGATGACATATTAACAACCGCAGCCATTAATACAATGAAAAAACATTCACTTTTACCGACTGATGAAAAAGCAGGAATTAGAAAAGCCCATTGGTTAGTGAGTATAGCAATATTTTTGAATCATTCCATGTTGGAATACTTTTTTGCAGATCAAATTGGCAAACAGACCATGACAAATCCCTTAGTTGGAGGCTGAAACACAGGGTGAGTCTCCTGTACGCTTTTATGTGCTGGCTTTGTGGTTCCATTTTCCTAGCAAGTTGATTCAACTTCAAATTAAGATGGGCTTTTAGCCATAATTCTAGCATGCGGTGTTATATTAATAAAAAATTCCATGTTAATAGTGAAAATTGAAATAGGAGATACGTCAAGTATTTGGAAGACGAGGGAGATGGGAACATGAAATCTGAACATACAATGAATTAGAAAGAGAAGTTGTTAAAAATGTACTGAGATCATCTGTTTTATATGGACAAGTCCAATCAGTTTCTAGATTTAAGCTTGAGCAGGATCTTGGATTGGTTTTAAACCCAACCCAACTTACCGAAGTTGGACCCGATGGTACCAATCCCCATTTCTGGTTATTTTTTATGTGTTTAGTATAGCTTTCATTTGTAATTGATTTGTTTTTAAAACAGAAAAAGTTCTTGATAAACCGTTTATGGACAACTAGGTGCCATTAGGCACTACATCAACGGAACTGTGAATAAACACTTAACCATTGGGGAAAGCATTAAAATGAAATTTCCCCCAATGATTAGAGCACACATAAATAAAAAATCTCACTTTTGTGAATATCAATGCATATAGATGAATATGATGAAAAAATACTGATTTGGCAATGGAATGACAGCGTTTTAATAAACGCCTATCACGAAACGCCTATCACGAAACGCCCACAGAACAAAATAGGGGTATAAACGGATCAAATTCGAATCAGATCAGGCAATATCCAAATTCAAATCCGATTAAATATTCGAATATTCGATTCGAATTCAGCTAATCAATTATTTTAAGTAATTAATAAATATATAAATTATTTATATAATTTAATTATTATATATATAAACTATATAACACATCTAAAAATTTATATATTATATATAAGAATTAAATAATTGATCGAATTCGGACATTTATCGAATTGAATCAGGTTATATTCGAATCCAAATCCAATTAGCTATTTGGTATGAATAGGATACCCGAATTCGACCGGTTAGATATTTGAATTATCCAAATTCAGTTCGATTATATTGAATCTTGAATTCGAAATTGGATTTTCGAATACATTGACACCCCTAAAACAAAATACATTGCTTTACTTTTATGTTAACTAAGGGCCCGAGGCATGTAGACATTTTAGAGCCTCGTTAACCAAAGCAACCTCGATTGCTGTCCTTGTAACCAGTATGCCTACTTGCTAGCAGTAGCATCTCCTCTCATAAAATTAGTGAATGTTCTCTGCAGCAAGCCAGATATTTTGTTCCATGCTTATGGTGGTGACGTTCTAATAAATACAATAAGAACTTTCACATTCCAGGAAGAAGGGGGTGAAAAAGTTGATTAAACATCCATGTAATCACTATCTCATCCTCGCGAGTGGCAGGCATTCCTCCTGCCTATGTCAAAAATTCACGTACAAGTAGCCTGTGTATTGTTTAGACCTCTTTATGTATACCACCACATCTTTTATGAGGTCTCCCCAATCAACGTCACCAAAAAATAATTCTAGAAGATTTAAAAAAAAAACTCAAATAAATGGCCTTGATTTGCAAGCAATGGGAGGGGCAATTGTACCTGAGAGAACAAAAATCACTAAACCACTGCACTTAGATGCAGAAAATCCTATATCAGCCTCTTCACCACAAGCCAATGAACTTCCACCAGATGCCTCCAACACCGAGCCAGATGATTATGTTAACAATGGAGATGAGGAAGCCATAGCCCCACCATGTGGCCAGTGGCACATAGTTGGCACCATAGAACACTGGGGCAGAGCCAATTCCATAGTGAGTGAGGCCACCCATGAGGTTGGATAGGAATGAGAGCACCATGGCCGCAAAGAATGGTGGTGTGCCCAAGGCGCTTGCCACAGATAAGAAGGCTGTGAACATAGCCCCAATGTGGGCAGCACCACTAGCAAAGAAGTAGTGTGAGTAGAAGTATAGAAGAACCAGAATGCCAAACGAAAGTTGCCATGATAGTCCAAGTCCTCCTACAAACTGTCAGAAAGCAAATGGTTTAGTTTCTGTTTAATGAAATAAGTACAAATAAAAAAACAAAAATATATTCCATTTTGTCATTCAAAAACAAATGTTACATCACACAAAGACACTTGTTCAAAACATTTGATTGATAATTTTTGTTAACTGAGATTGATACAGACAGCATATTGAGTCACCACTGCAATTCCTTTTATTTTAAGCAAAACCTATGGTGCCTTTTGCTGCATGGTGCAGCAAAAGACGTGATAGCAAGTACACATTGTTAAATGTGAAACTACACTGAATAAGCTATCAAAAAAGTACATTATGAGTGTGAACCAATGAAAAATAAGCAGACTTCAATGTGATTGGTTGAGATCAGGATTTAATGTGCAGCCAATATTTGTGAATGCACCATAGTTGAACTCTTTATTTTATTTTATTTTATTTTTGGTCCGGTAATGTAGTTTTGGCTCCATGTGGGCAACATGCTGTACACTAGACCTGTTTGGTGAGTTAGTGGGGTTAGATTAGCATAGATGCATGCAAGGTCCACTGGCATACACAACGTGAAGGGCCTGCCTTTCTGCAGGTCTGAACCTCTTGCCTCCTCAAAGGGAGAGATGCCAACTGACCACCTCTAGACTACATGGTTAATTGCATCAAAACCAAGGTTCAAGCAAGTTGGATTGGGGCCATAGTTTTAAAAGGCGCTGAGGCAAGGCATTGAGGTGCACGCCTCAAGGCGAGGTGAAACCAAAGCGCCTGGCCTCAGGTGCCTTGCCCCTCTACTAAGAGGCTATGGCCTCTGTTTCTGAAAGGCTTACGCCCCACCGCATTGTGCCTCAAATTGGTGAGGTGAAAGCCTTATATAAGAAGCACCAAAGCTGAAAAAGAAAAGAAAAAACATTATAAATTAGTTATAATACTACTTAAAATTTAAGAAAACTAATTACTTAGTTGTTTATAAATAAAATAAGGTGCTTCAAATTTCACATAGACAAGAGTTCTTCCCGCCTCTGCTTTCCTCAGATCTCTGATCTGGGATCCCCTTTCTCTGCTACCTCCATCCACCAATAGCATCAGCTCCCAGGATGTAGAAGAAGGTCGATGATGAAGATTCACACAGAAGAAGTGTTTAAATTAGGTCCATGACGCCATTGATAATGGAGTCCACAAAGAAGCGACAACAAGGGTCCAAGGTTTGTATCTTGAGGAAGGAAATCTGGTGCAGAGGTTGAAAGTGTTGAATGCAAGTCTGGTTGGAAGGTTTGTTGGATGTGATCTGGAGGCTGAGAAGGTGGAGTCTTGGGCCTCTTTTGAATGGGGGAGGGAAAGGATTTTGAGAGTTAGAAAGCTTATCAGGGGCATATTCTTGTTCATGTTCCACAGAAGGGATGATGCAGAATGGGTGTTGGAGTAGGAAATTGAGAAGAACATGGAGGCTGATTTAAGGTTAAGCTGGTGGTTTCTGGCGACATGGGAGATTAATGTGGCTAGGGGTGGTGGGGATTCCTCTTCATGCATGGTGTTTCCATACCTTCAATTCTGGTACTTCTGTTTTGTTCTGGGAAGATATCCAGGTGGGCAATTCTGCCCTTAAGGACAGTTTCCCTTCTCTCTATTCCATTTCTTGCTACAAGGGTAAAACAATTTCTCATTTTCTTCCAACATCTAATTCTCCATCTTCCTTGAGTTGGGACTTTGGATTTCGTAGGGGTTTGAGGGATCATGAACTCTCTCATGTTTCAGACCTGTTGTCACTGCTTGAAAGTGTTTTTCTGGACCTTTCCAGTTCTGATGTGAGACTTTGGTCTCCAAACCCAAAAGGTTACTTCACATGTGCTTCCTTTTTTAAGTCCCTTTGCTCTACCTCGGGACAAGTGGGCTTCCAAGCTGAGGAGATTTGGTCTAAACCTGTACCTCCTAAAATTATTATGTTCTGGGAGGTCTTCTATAGGAAAATCGACACTTCAAACTTACTGCAGAAAAGAAGGCCTTCTATGTGTTTGTCTCCTAATTGGTGTGTACTATGCAGGGCTAATGGTGAGGATTGCTCTCACTTACTTTTAACCTTCCCTTTTTCTGCTGCTATTTGGGGTTGGATCTTTGCTTTGTTCGGTTGCAGATGGAATATGACCACAGCCATAGATCAGATCTTTGATTCTTCCTTCTTTGTGTGGCCCACAAAAACTGGTAAAACAATGTGGAGGAGCATTAGAGCTGCTGCTCTGTGGACAATTTGGGAAGAAAGAAATGCGAGGATATTCCAAGAAAAGGAGAGAAATGTGCAGAATATGAAGGATAGCATTTTGACCAGGGCAATCCACTGGCTGAGATCATCAGATTCCTTCAAATTATATTCTTTTGATGACATGTGGAGGAACTGGAGGGCTGTGGCTAGTAGCAGTAACAGAAAGAACAGGGTACCAGCTGTATGGGTACCCCCTTCAGAAGACTGGACAAAGCTGAATTTTGATGGTGGCAGTCAAGGAAATCCGGGGCCTTCAGGGATTGGTGGGATGCTGAGAGACAAAGATAGTAACATATTAGCTTTGTTCTCAGGCTGTGTGTATAGGAGACTCTATCAGAGCTGAGCTCCTAGCGACAGTACAAGGCATTCAGGTTGCGGATCAGTTAGGAGTTCAAAATTTGATTATTGAAGGAGACTCCAAAGTTGTTGTGGGTTGGCTAAAAAATCCAGATTCAGTGATCTGGTGCTACAGGGTATTATGAGGAAAGCTAAATGGTTCTCAAGGAACATGAATGTTATTTTTCAGTGGGTGGGTAGAACAGCTAACACCGTAGCGGATGGGTTAGCTAAACAATGGGTATCAAGGGAACAGCTTTTCTGGGCAGCTTTGTTAACTTTTTGTTACTAGTCTGAGGTAGTACATTGTTGCTATTGTGGAGAGGTACCAGCTCGTGCCCCTCTTTGGGAAGGCTGTATTGTAATATCTTATTGATTTTTTTAATAAAATTCAATCATTTATCAAAAAAAAAAAAAGAGATGTTGCGGCAAGTTCCTCCATTCTGATGAGAAAAACAGGGGATGGGAGAAATTGGATATCGCAAGAATATTGGTGGAGGTGGAGAATATCTCTTCTGTTCCAAGCTCAATGGATCTTTTCTTTGAAGGGGAGAACTATAAGCTGAGAATTTTTGTTGAGGGAGGACCTTAGGGCAAAGAGGAGATTGAAGATGTCAAAAGAGTTGTGAAAAGAAGAAGAGTTGGACGGAGGTAGGAGACAAGGAAGTCAAAGGGTCAGGGGGGTAGAAGCATAACTTTGGGGGATGATAGAAAGCATGTGAAGGGTAGGTGTTATGAGGGTATGGGTAATGAGGAGTTGCCGAGAGAATTTAAAGTGGCTCTCTTGGTGCCTAGTGGTGTAAGTAATTTGAGAGGGAACCACTTCTCTTTGAAGAGGACAAATGGCTTGATTAGGAGGAGAGGGAGTTGTTTAATGGTTAGTAAAAAGAAAGTGTTCAGTGAAAAAAGGTCGAATGGAGGGAGAAGGTGGTGTTGAGTGTGAGAGGTGGAATTCTTAAAGGAGAAGGTCAATTGGGTTTGGGTGGTTATGAGGCACGTGGGAACTGAGCAAGAGAAGACGAAATTGAAGTGTGAGGTGTTGATGAGTTTCAATGGCGACAATTGCAATTAGTTTCCTAATCTCTTGATTCCTGAGATCAAAGGTGAAATGCATACAAGAGAAAGTTGTAGAAAGTCCAACAAAGTGATTCTGGGGCAGGAATCAAGCTCTCTCTGTCCTGATCCAGGGTTTCTTTATGATCAGTCCTCTACATGCAGCTGTGGTGTTACCAACAGGAAGATTGTCATGGCACAAATGGGGAGGAAGCGAAGTGCAAGTTAGGCCTGCACCCAGGTGCGATGGCTGCTGAAGATTTGGATCAGAACAATCAAGCTGGCCTTGGTATCAGAGTGGAGCCCATTCCTGAGGTATGGTCTGGTAATCTGGTTTGGAATCTTCAGACTCTAGGATTGGGGATTCTTCTCCGGGGGAGCTTGGGGATGAAGTTTTTGGTGAACAGTGTTCTGAAGTGGTTGTGGGAAGGATTGCCATCAATATTGCCGAACTGAGTAGGACGTTAAGACTTTAGAGTTTCAAGCAGATCATATTTGGTTCACATGACAAAGATTTTCTCATGCCTTGAAGATGGTCTGGTTGAGCCAGGTCCTACTAATAGATTTAAAAGAATCTATAGAAGAAAAAGTTCAAAAGCAGTGGATAAGCCTAAGTTGGGATTTGGGGAGGAGAACTTGGTGGAATGGCAGATGTTGAATTGCAGTTTGTCTAGTAAGTCGGCTATGTGTGATATCAAAGAGAACGAACAGGGGCAGAGCCAGGGGTGGTTGAGGGGAGACATGCCCCCACCCATGCCTGGAAAATCCCCATAGCACTCATTTAAATCCAACTTAAATTTTGACCCCCCTATCCATGTTTACTAGTCCCTCCCCCCAACAATAAACCCCAGTTCTGCCCCTGAGAATGAAGTGGTGGAGTCAGGTTCGGCCAAGGACAATGGGGGTGGCATTGAAGTTGAAGAAGGTACAATGAAGATAGGAGAAGATGCTTCAACAATGTCTGTCAATGCTAACATGGTGGAGGAAAGGTTTGGTATGGAAAAATTGGTTGACAGGGAGGTCCAAGTTGGCAAGATGTTGGGTTTGTTCTTCTTGGGTGGAGAGGAGTTCACCAGGAAGGTCTTTCTAGCTTGGGAGAATAAAAAAAGAATGGAGAGCACTTCTAGTGATATGAAAACATTACTGATGAAGCTTTGGAGGTGGTTGAGGAGTAAGCTTTTGAGCTTGGAAGTAGATTATTATTGGGGGGGGGGGGTGTGAAGGGGTTTTTATGATGTTTCCTTTCTCTCAGGTGATTTATCACCTTCCTATTGCATTCTCCTTTTATTTAATTTTAACAAAGCTTTTATTTTACTATAAAAAATAAATAAAATAAACAATCTATACTAAAAAAATGCCACAATACTTATTTTAA